TGTTAGAGAAGAGTCATCGATCAGTCGGACAGCCCTCCGCTGGACAGCATCGAGCATGGATAATGTAGTCGGGGCGGCAGCACCCCAAACGTGTGAGCAATACTCGAGGCTAGGCCTTATCTGGGCCTTGTATAGAGTGAGGTCATGCGGAAAAAAGTACTTCTTAGCCCGAAACAAATAGCCTAGTTTTTCTCAGCACCTGCCGCTATTCATCATCGTATTCATCAAGTCCTCGGTGATCTGGACTCCGGCTAGCCGAAATGATGGATTCTTTGGCAGAACTCGGCCACCAATCGATACCGAATGAGCGCTAGAATGCTTTTTCTTCGTCAGGATACAGTACTGTGTTTTGGAAGCATTAAACTGTACAAGATTGTTGCGTCCCCAAGCAGTGATAACCTCCAAGTCTCTCATCAGTTTTAATTATATATCTAATTTTATTATTTTAAAAATGGGTGCCAAGTAGGTTAACTCTAAATTTATGGAATTTCCTGTGTTGATCGAGTTGACGTTGATTTGAAGGGTCTTTCAACATTTCATAGGACGAACGTAATTTTTACAACCAGTCGACATCATTCTGTCGGGAATATAGAGTCATCCTGCTTGACGCAATGTATTTCACTCACGTTTCCGCAGCTTCGCGAATTTTTGGGGTTGGCAAGAGAGCACTGTAATCGCAATTTCGTTATTGCTTCCATCTTCAATTTCTTCAAATCCGACTTCTAAAACACTCAGTTTACACACACTGGACGTAGAGCACGTGGTACCGTTTCACGTAACACTTTGCTGAACGCAGGGCCAAATTTGATACCCCAAATTTTTTATGAACCGTTATGTTAAGATTTTAAATATTCCAAGACATAAGAGGTGTGATAAAAAAAATACAGTGCAATACAATAATTTTATCACGAACAAATTATTCAGCTCATATCAAATTTGAATTAATCTCCAAAGTATTTAAATTACCAACCCTTCAAAGTGCTCTCCTTTACTCGCGATGCACTCCAATTCATGATTGGAAGCATTTCTGGAAGATTTCTCTAACATAGCACTTTCAATCCCGGGAATGGTGCCAAAACGCTTTTCTTTCATCAAGGTTTTTTTTCGGGAAGAGTCAAAAATCGCATGGTGCTAAATCTGGAGAATAAGGCGGATGTGGACAGTCACATACGAGGATTGTCTCAAAAATAGCGTTTCCAACGCTGCGCCGCGTGTGATGCTAGGCGAAATCTGGCAACACCGTCGCGTTTGTCGGCTCCCCTACAACTGGTCCCAATAAGAAGCGCCTATCGGCGACGCTGAGCGATGCGCAATGGAGCCCTTCATCGACGTCTGTTCGCTCTGAGTTTAGTTTACATGATCTAAATCAATGTCCTAGTGAAACTGTGATCAGGTCGTGGGACAGTTCGAGTCTACCGGTTCGATACTGACTCAGAAACCTGCCCTGTCCAAGGTTAATACAAACAGAGGGAACTGTAAGCGAAGTTGCGATGTCCGTACGGCGCGATCCACAGTTATCATCCCGAAAAAGATCAGCTGAGCTCGCCATATCAAGAACATCCGTAAGGCGTATTTTGGTAAAATACCTCAAATCGCATCCACATAAACTTCAACTTGTGCAGGAATTGAAACCGCAGGATCACCATCTACACCGTGCGTTTGCTGAAATAATGTTGCTTTCCAAGTGTGAACAATATTTTGGAGCCTACCATAACAGGACCTGGTTTCAACAAGATGGCGCGACATCCAATACCGCCAACGAGTCTTTATCAGTTGTAAACGAAATGTTTAGTGGAGAACTGATATCGCGAAGAGGGGACACTCCGTGGTCTCCTCGGATCCCAGATCTAACGCCAGTGGATTTTTTCTCTGGGGATACCTCAAGAGCCGCGTTTACGCCAATAAAACGACGAAGATTGCCCAGCTTAACCACAACATTTTCGAGGATGTCCGCTATCCTACGAGCGATGTGCCAGCGAATTTGAGGTCGAGATTCGGGGAGTGGGTACGACTCGATGACTCATAGAGATTTTATTTTAAAAAAATTAAATGGTGAAGAGAGTGCTCTGATGGTCGCAAGGACATGCACGATGAACAACCAATCAGGAGGCCGTCGATCTCCGAGGAAGTTGTGGTGAAGATTGAGCAAATCTTGCCCGAAGATCGGCGAATCACGATCCGGGAACAGGCGGTTGAAATTCCTGAGACTTCTGGAAAAGCTGAGACGACCAATCCAAAATCGTCGTAGGGAAAAACTCAGCAAAGCGTAAGATTGCACCACAAAAATGCGCATCCTCGTGTCTCACAACAAAAGAAGGACTTATTCGAGCGATTTGGTTGAGAAGTCATTGTTCATCCCCCTGACAACCCTAACATGGCGTTTTAAGGAGCAATCAAAACCAAGTATGTACTAAAATCAAAAAGAAAATCTTGATAAAAGTTTCAAACACATATTTTCTGAAATGTTTAAATGCAAAATTGGATAGATGCCATCACCTTGGAGTTATTTTCAGTGCGGAAGAACCCGCTTATGGAACCTGATTTTTACAAGAACGGAAGTTCCTCAGGGTTCCGTACTGGGACCAACGCTATTTTTATTATACATTAATGATATCCCTAATAGCCTGTCAGATACGCACAATGCTGCTTTGTTTTTATATGCTGATGACACTACTTTGGTAAATTCTAATAAAAATGTAAATACCCTTGTCGAAACCAGCTCATTGTGTAAGTCGGACTTTGAGGATTTGTTTGCTGCCAATATGTTATTGCTCAACACTGATAAAACTCAGTCTATAATACTAAGCTTGCGCAGTCATGAGTTGGGATCTGCTCAATCAGTGAAATTGCTAGGAGTATATATATTGACTGTACTCTGACATGGGAGGAGCATACTCGCTGTGTGGTGGATCGTTTGTCCAGAGTTATATATCTCATATGTAGTCTAAAGGATAGAGTATCTGATGTCTTATTAACTGCTTATCATGCATATTGCCACTCTAAAATGACATATGCAATTTTGGTCTGTGGACACTCTCCACATATGCAAAGAGTGTTTGGCATGCAAAGGCGTTGTATCCGATACATCTCTGGTTTGAAATACAGAGACCCCTGCAATGCTGAATTCATTAAATTGGCGATACTAACCCTTCCATGCTCGTATATTTTGAGTTGTCTCCTATATATCAAAAGTAACACTCATAGTGATAACCACAATTATGAAACACGAAATAGAAACATTTGTCATAATAACTACCGTCTAGAAAAATCAAGAGTCGGAACAAACTTTTATGGCATTAATTTTTTTAATCTGCTGCCCAACAATATAAAAACATTAGATATTGATCTTTTTCATAGGAAACTCAAGCATTATTTAATAAAAAAACGCATTCTTTAGCACTGACGAATATTTGGCAAATCACTTTACTGATATACCTTAAATGTTTATTTATTTATTTCTCTCTCCAACTTGTGTACATTTGTTATTGTTTTGTTTGTCTGTATGTGTATAGTTAATTGTATTATACATATATTTTTCTAAGCGATCTTCTTGTATCTCATGACGACATTTTTGTATTGTTTTTTTTTTCAATTTACTTCTAGTAATTATGCGTTACGCAGCATTGCATTGTTTTTAACTGGTTTTATTCATGTCTGATGTACTTTTTTCTAAGCGTGCTATTAGTGTACAGGGTGTAAACGTTATGATAGTCGCTATTTAAATGGGTGATAGAGGGGGTTAAAAGAAGCAAAAAGTTTCATATACCATGGGGGTCAAAACGGCATTTTTTAGAGAAAAGCGACTTTAAAGTAAAATAAAATCTGACAACGCCGCAATGCCAGACGCAAATTACGACGGAACGCAGTGCAAATAAAGATGGAGTTTTTGGCTCTTAGGTATTATTTCATTATTTGATAATGTACTCGTAAAATGCAAACAATTAAAAAAACGGACTTACCACTATCTGTCTCAGCGCTCCTCGTGGTGTGTGAAAGTTTATTGAACGTATTGAAAAAATCCACTTGTAAATAGGGAACACAATTTTGATACATACATTGTTTTTCTTTTTAAAACCCACACTGCACTTTTTTGTATTCAAAGAAGGTGTTCAAAATGTCGTCCTCCACTTTCCACACAAGCTTCATTACGACGAACCCAGTTTCTTCTTACTCTAGGTCCTCGAAGTTGTCCATTTATTATTCCAGCCGCATTAAAAATTTTTTCGCGAAATTGTGCTTCTATTGTTATTGGACCAGCCCCATAAATCATCCCTTTAAGTTCTCCCCAATACCAGAAATCCATCGGATTGAGGTCAGGAGATCTTGCTGGCCATTTTCGACGATCAGGAGCATTTTGACCAATCCAGCGATTTGGATAATGTTAATTCAAATACTGAATGACGCCTCTAAAAATGTGTGTCATGAAGAAACCACAAATTCTGTTACAAAAGTTCTGGTAGGTTATTGGCTAGAAAACTAAGGTATCTTGACAACTTTGGGGGTAACTCGAAAGGGCCAATTACCTGATCGTCAAGGATACTCGCCCAAATATTTATTTTAAAACGTTGTTGGAAATGACCTTCACGAATGGTATGAGGATTTTCTTCAGCCCACGGGTGAGTATTATGGAAATTTAATATCCAGTCTCGCGTAAAAGCACATTATTTACCTAATTTAAAAACGTTTTAGATTAGATTATAAAAAATAGTAAGATTGTGGTGATTGTGGTCGATATAAAACACACTTAAAGTTGTAAACTATAAAGCCATTTAGACAAAAATCTATTGACTTTTGGACCATGGGTCATATGAACCTTTTGACTTGTTTTGACCCCCCTATTACCCATTTCAATAATGACTACCATAACGTTTACACCCCGCATATTGACTTGTGTAAACACTTTCTGTGTATTAACATCAATAAATTATTATTATTATTATAAATAATGAATATATTGAACAAGTACTTACTCTCTAATAAGTTCGACCGCCTCTTCGTACTTAAGCCCCAGTTCGATAAGGGCCAAGGCAACCATGACAGGCGCCCTGCCAAGGCCAGCGACACAATGTACGGCTACGCAGCAGTCAGGGTTCTCGTTGAACTGCCTCTTGAGGATCCGGAACCACTCTTCGACGATCTTGTGTGGTGGAAAAGTACCGTCGTCATATCCCAAGTCGTGCACTTCAATGTTTTCCTTGGTCAGCTCGTCGGTCTTGTAGGATGGCTCGCATACCCGCACCACACAGGTTACGTTGTGTTTTTTAAGCTCCTGGAAAAAAGGTGACGTTATAGTTATACAATTATTTCAGTTTGCGGTATTCACAGCCAAAGCCAACACACTCAAGACGCCAAGACACTCAGTGTGTCACAATAAAATACGAGGGTTGTTTCAAAGATAAGGTTCCCACATTTTTTTCAGGCACAAGGAATTTTTTGTTTGAAAAAACAAATTCACAATTGGAAGCGTTGATCTTTAAGCTATTTTTCTACATAGTCGCCATTTTTTCTACGCAGTTTTTCAGATATGTAGTCCACTTTTGCATTCTCGCCTGAAGGAAGTCCACCGCCAGCCCGTTTAGAAACTTTGTAACTGCTTTTTGCAACTCTTCGTTCGTCTCGAACCGTTGACCGCTCAGGTGCTCCTTCAATTTCGGAAGCAGATGAAAATCGCTAGGTGCTGTGTCAGGGCTGTCGATGGATTTTTATTGGTGACCGCACGAATTTCGCAACTGGGGGTGTCGGCGATGAAGATCAACGTTTCCAATGGTGAATTCTTTTTTTTAATAAAAAATCCTTTGTGCCTAAAAAACAATGTGGGAACCTTATTTTTGAAACAGCCCTCGTAGATTACAAATACGCCAATATTTTTCAAAATCTCATCGTAATTTGCAGCCATTCAGAAATCAATTTTCGGTTTCTAAATAATGACCTACCTGTATATAGGCGTTGATGGTTTGGTCAGATGGTCGGTCGGTAATAAGGAATTTGAAGCCTTTGTATTCGATCTCGGCTGGAGCTGGTCGGATATCTTTTTGACGCATGGCTGAAGTTGTCACCACGGGATTCTGGTTCATCACCCAAGCGGCACACACCAGGTTAGAAGACCGGATTTTACTATTTTTAGGTTATGTTATTTATGTTACGTATTTACGCTTTTTATGTTTCAGGTTGCTTGTTGAACGGTAAAACAATCAGTCTTTTCAAAGAAATAAAATAAAATAAACCTACTAGATGACTGGTATTAACTTTTATTTACACTAAGTGATGATATGCTTTTTAGCGAAGTGAAATTATGTGTATCTACTACAAATTAACTCAAAAACGCTGCATAAATTTACTAATTTGGCTCCCAGTGAGGTGAATCCAATTTTTTTGTTTTTATTTTTATAATACACTGATTTTAATGACTAAGCTCAGTGGTATGTCTTTTTATACAAAATTGTTTATTTGTGTTGGGCTTGGCAATATTCTGCGCTATCCAAGTGGAACTCCATGTATGCGAGCACAGTCTCACCAAAATACTGAAACAAAAACAAATTAAGTTATACTACACCAGCCTAAAACATGTATTCAAGGTGTACCAGAAGTCGACGTCAAGCCGGAAACCTGGGATAGGATAAGCCATGATACTTATCCGAAAAATATGAAAAACATCTAAGTCGTGTACTTTTGAAATTATCGGCTTTGGAAAAAAATCGGAAAAATCTACACCGTGTGATCATCTTTTAGTTCCCATTAACTACAAATTTCAATATTTTCTTAGACAGACTGAGATTGCTATGTTTATATGATTTTTTTGTTTTAAAATTACTCAAACAAACGCATGTTAAATTTATGATACATAGTTAATGAACACCCTGTAATAACATCCAAAACACATCTCAATTTAGAAATTTTTACCAGAAGCGTAAGAAGTAAAAGCTTTGTAGATCCAGTGACGACGTTGGATCTGTGGTATCAGTGAGACGTTCTCTGATCCCGGCACTATAATAGTCATACATATCGTCGGTCTCCGCACGTACAGGCGTAAATGACAAATAATCTAAAATCGAGTTAAGCCGTAATTTCACAGATTTTTTTGTAGTCTCTTACTTCACGAAGTGACGTAGCTGTATATCAGTTCGCTGCTAAGAATTAAAATTTTCAGAAAATTGCCTAAGTTATAAAATTCCGAAAACAATTTTCACGTACCGGCTTAAACAGATTTACGCCTCTGCGTTAAAACTGGATCTACATCATTTTAGTCTAACAAAAAAAACCGCAATGTTCAGACTAAAAATTCGGTATGTCATTTTCAATCTCATTTATTGCTGATTTTCGTTTTCTAGCTCTCCTGTAAAATTTGTAAAATGTTAGTTACGCCAGTACGTGCGGAGACCGACGATATGAAGGGTACAGAGGGAAAAAAGAATGTCACAAATTTGGCGTTTTATAGTTGGAACCGGCAACATGTAGTCTTAACGCGGTACAATCCCGTGAGGTACCGGAAACACGCAGAGACAATGACAATAAGCAGTTATTAGCGATGTGCCGAGTACGGTTTGACTCGATTCCTGCCTTAGAACTCGCCTACTCGAATACCAATGTATTTTGATTCGAGTACGCCGGTCTAGATTCCGGTACTCGAGTCAGGAAGAATCGATTCGTACTCGCTAACTCGATTCTATTTATGCGAGTCCAACTGACTCGAGTCTCGTATTCGAGTTTGGTTAACTCGCTCGTACTCGCAAACTGTTTACTTAGTGTGCGGCCACACATAAAGCTGCTAGCGGGCAAGGTAGCCAAGAGGAAGACGGAGAGTACTTCGGATATTGGCTACACATGTCGCTGGTTTGGAGGCGTATTTTAATTCGCAAATTTTATAAACAGTACAGAGCCCAGGTGACGGTGGTGTTGTTATTACGGAAAAATGGCTCTTGCTAATAATTTATATTTAATAGAAAATTCTACATTCTTCTACAGATAATGCTCAACAATTTGTTGTTGACGAGTTCATGATGTTGGAAACAAAGGAATCTCAAATTCATTCCAGGTGCCAAATACTCCAAATAGATTTCTAATGCCATCTACTTCACGTCTCGAAACACCTACAACTTCATCTTCATATTCCCAGCAGATAACTTCAGAGGTGACTGGCGAGAATTTATGGGAGCATCTAGATAAAAGGGTATTGGAATTTTCAAGCATGGAAAACCTCACAACATTAGCAATTATCAAGGTGAAACAGTACGTAGAGGCGTAGAGCTACCGTATTTGGATAGAAAAGCCAATCCACTGAAATTTTGGGAACTTCGCAAAATGACCAACAGCGGCTTTTATAAAATAGCTTTGAAGTATTTATGTATTCCAGCCACTTATGTGCCTTCGGAACGAGTTTTCTCTAAGGCTGGTCTTTTATGCAACCAACGCTGCAATAGACTGGAGTCCAAGAAGGTTTACCAAATACTTTTTTTGAACAGTTATTTCAAATAACTTTTATTCTCTTATCTCTATTTTGTTTTTTTATATATTCATTTAGTTATGTACGGTATTGTGAGTACGGTTTAGGTTGCTTAGGTGGATCTGAATACCTTCCCAAATGTTATATTCTGAGCTGTTGAGTTTGTGTACCTACTTTTGTAAAATTAAAATGGTTTGATTTTAATGCTTACTATATCTGTCTAGTGTTTAGATGTATAGGATTCCTTAAAGCTGTCTCAAATTACTAATAAATAAATAATAATATCTAGTCTACGTCGCGAGTAAATTTGATGGTTTTTTGTTTATCTCCATAGAACTCCTAAACAGCGACTCGGCACATCACTAGTAGTTATACCATAGCCAATTGAAAACTTGCCGTACAGTGAAAAAAAGATGAATGTCACAGCCGTTGTATGAAAAAAGATGAACGTCCACTGATCGTCACCACTAGCAGCTACTACAACAATTTACCATACACCAATGTGCGACGAAAGAAATAAACGTTAAGTAATCATTTTTAAGCAGTTACCATTAATTTTGTTTTTTTTTTGTTTTGTTTGTTCTATATTTTTTTGAATAAGGATTTTTTTGGTTCATTGTGTTTTTTCCTGTCCAAATTAAAAAAAAATGCTTAGAAATAATTCTGTATTTTTGAGCTATTGAGGTTAGAAAATCTTCTTTTTCTCATGTTCTAGGCCCTGAGTAATAAATTTTCTGTTAAGTAGTTCTCATATTAGAACAGATCGTAAAACCTAAGTTAGGCATTTTGATGGTTAATCAACCCTCGGATTTTACAGGGTGTCGCATATGAAGAAAAGGCTCATTTCTAACCTCAGTACCTCAAAAAAAGTTGAATTTTGCCCTGTATATCAAAAAATATTGTTTATTTGTAATTTTACTTTTTTCAATTACTTATAATAAGAAATCAATGGTACTCCCTCAGATCTTTGAGCCACCCTGGACAACGAATCTAGGAGTCTTCAAACTTCTAAATTCACTGTTCTCGAAACTTACCTTTCGTGACATTCATCTTTTTTCAATTTCACAGGGTTTCCTAAGGTTGATAAAAACATGAACAAGGCTTCAATTTAAGTTGCTTGGTAGTACAAATTGAAAATGTATATTTGCACCATCATCTAAAGTAACTGCTGCCGGAAGTATTTTCATTCATTAAACTATCCTCATTGTCTTTCATTTCCTACTCCTACGTGCGTTGTTTTACAAATATACTTTACGCGTTGATGGCACTTAAAATTGTTCTCATTGTACTGTATTTATGAGGATCCACCACACGCCGAAAGATAGATCGGTTCTCACAAAACAAAATAACGTCAAAAGGACCTGATTTAGGGGCACATTTATAAACCATCCTTGAAGATTGAGAACGATTTGAAGAATGATCTCTTCTTGGATTTTAAAGAAACAATAAACCATTTTGCTTCCCACGCCTACTGACGAGGAATTATTCTAATCACGAAAATTTTCGAAAATAAGATATTACGTGTTTAGGGTATTACATGGCATGTACGAGGGTTGTCTCAAAAATAAGGTTCTCAACGCGGTAGCTTTTCCACAAGTGATTGCAAAATCTGGCAACACTGTCGTAATGTATTTGCGATGCTCAGTACCGACACGACAGCAAAGCACAATGAAGCCCCCGATCGCCGTCACTACCTGCTGCGAACTTCGAGCGGTCATCCGATTTTTTCATGGAAATGCAAATCTTGCTCGAAGATCGGCGAATCACGATCCGGGAACAGGCGGTTGAAACAAAGGACTTAATCGACCGATTTGGCTAGGCACTTATTGCCCATCCCCCTTCAGCCCTGACAGCGTCTCCGAAATTGACGGAGCACCTAGGCGGTCAACGGAAGAGGAATTGCAAGTTTCCAAACGGGCTGACGGCGGACCACCTTGAGGATGGAGTGCAAAAGTGGATTTCACGTCTGAAAAAATGCGTAGAAAAAATGGCAACTATGGAGAGAACTAGCTTAAAGATCTACGTTGCCAATGGTGAATTCTTTTTTCAAATGAAAATTCCTTGTGCCTGAAAAAAATCTGCGCAGCTTATTTTTGAAATAACCCTCGTACATCCCCAAAAACCATATCACTCCTTTCCGTCGGCCTTTCTGTCGGTCTGTCCGGTAATCTTATAACCGCCTATACGAGGGATGTCTTTTAAGTTTTGCATATAGAAACATAGTAGGCCGCGCGGATCAAACGTCAGTACTGAATCTCAACCTCACTCTTTAGTAAACTTAAATTCAAGGTTTCACAACAATACGTGCAGTGTTCTCACTACAATGAATTTTTAAGTGTAACCAAGTCATCAGAAAAATGGAACTCAACCGAGAACATTTCCGGGCCATAATTTATTACAACTTTCAGACACAATTATCGCAGCAAGAGTTATTGTCTGTTTTCGCAAAGAAGCGCCACATCAGTCGTCAATTTCCCGTTGGTATGGAGAATTCAAACGTGGACGGGTGATTCTTAGCGACGATCACAGGGTGGGTGCACCAAAAACGGCAGTCGCCCAGGAAAACGTCGACGCTGTGCGCAAACTCATCATTGAAGATAGACATGTGACATATCGCGAGATTGAGGCGTCCTTGAAGATCTCAAAGACCTCAATTCAAAAAAATTTACATGAAGAATTAGGAGTAAGAAAATTAGTTTCTTGTTGGATACCCCACTTGTTGACTGAAGAGCAGAAAGCAGCCAGGGTTAATTGGTGTCAAAAAACGCTTGACTGTTTCAATTCCGGAAACTCAAAAAATGTGTACAGTATTGTTAGTGGTGATGAATCGTGGATTTGCTGTTACGAACCAGAAAATAAACGACAGTCGGCTGTTTGGTGAAGGTGAAGAAAACCCAACAAAAGTCATTCGTTCTCAAAGTGTTTTGAAAAAGATAGTCGCGACATTTGTGTCAAAAGCAGGTCATGTTGCAACAATTCCTCTTAATGAGCAAAGAACTGTTACTGCGGATTGGTATACCACCATTTGTTTGCCAAAAGTCATCACCGAGCTTCGAAAAATCAACCCCGAAAGAAGAATCATCCTCCACCAAGACAATGCAAGCTCGCACACAGCCCAAAAAACAAGGCAGTATTCAACGGAAGAAAACGTGGAACGCATGCAGATGTGTATTAATCTTCATGGAGAATACTTCAAAAAGCAATAAAGTCATTTAAAACTACCTACCGTGTTGTTTTATTTCCATATGCAAAACTTAAAAGACATCCCTCGTAACTTGAGAACAATGTTACTACTATACCAAAGGCGCAAAAGCTTTGTAGTTTTTGAAAATCGGTCCAGTGGCGGCAGAGAAAAAGGAAAAACTCAAAATTATTAACCTTAACCCTTTACTCATTCAAGTTATAACCTATGTGCTAACTGAAAATAGCGTGAAGTAGGTTGACTCAGCACTTACCACACAAGGCTGTCATCACTGCATAAGATTGTTTGATGTAACTTAGAAAGACGTTAACTATGCAATTTTTACAATTTTTTTCTGAAAATGATCAGGAGACTAAAAACTGCAAAGCTTTTTCGCCCTTGGCTTTGTGGTAACATTGTGTTGAAATCTCCTCAAATTTCAAGGACACGGAGGCAAACAGACCAATACACAGACAAACTGATGGAAATCATGTCCTAGATCATCCGAAAACATTCTCATTTTAAAAACTATTCGTAATTACAACACTTCCTGAAAAGTAAAAAAAAACACAAAAACTATGGACAAAATTGAAATAAGATTTAAAAAAAAATAATGCTAATAAAGAGCGGAAATGTCAATAAATATGTTTTGCTAAATAAAATTCATTAACTTATTGCATTTATGAAAATAAATATTGATGTATAGTATCAATCAGTAAATACCTGGCTAGTATAATTTCAAAACTAGACAGCTGATAATAAGTAATGAAAGGCAGCAACAACAAAAAAATGGTTAGCAAGCTTTACATTGGAGAATTTACCCTAAGTCAAGAATGTCCATTTTTAAAATTCCCTAACCAATAAAAACTCTATTTATAAATATGAATAAAAGTGCAGATAATACTGATAATCCATTTTACTGTCACAAAAATCTTGTGTTAATAGGATGATTAAATATAGGATATGTGATTATTTTCATACAGGTAGATATTTAAATCATATTTTTACATTGTTAGAACTTATGTTATGCCAAGTTTTTACTTTAGATTATTTTGAAAACAAGTCATGTTATTCTCCGTTCTAACAGAATAATTCAGAAAGAGTCCTGAACTAAAGTTACTTAGGCACTCACGGAAAATAATTTGGAATCTACTCTGAACTAATTCAGAATTGCTTGTATGAACAAACTTATCAAGTTTATCTATCTGGAATGACAGTATACTTGTTGCAAGTAGGTAATTTTGGATAAAATGAGCTGCTTATTATCCAATCATGTACGATAAAGCAAAAATAAAATTCATTAAATTTGCAGCTGTAGAACTAGATTGTTCAATAAAATACATTAAATTGCACACTTTTTTGTGTATGAAAGTATAACCTATTTATAGAACTCATTGATTTTGTCTGATTTTAATTATAAAGTGAAAAACGTACGTAAAATGTTGTGCTTGGAACTGTGACTGTGTTTTGGGGGATACGCCAAAAAACTGAATCTCACGTCTCCTAAAATACTTTTCAGACTGTAAAAGATACAGCTGCTTTTTAAATGTTTTGGCAGCTTTTAGATACCAAAACCTAACTTTATTATCATTTGCCATACTTCAAAATATAGCATCTTGTAATGCAGGTAAGCAATCACAGAAGCAATTTAGTTTTGCAATGTAAATAATTACGGATGCTGAAATTAGTTCAGAACTTTGAAACTGTGCGATTTGTAGGTTTTTCACTCAAAGCTCGCGTGAAAGGTGTGTACAATCAGAACCACTCACTATCTAATTTTATGACTAATTGAAAATTAGCAATAATTTCCTTATAGATGATAAAATTCAAATAAAATTTCCAGTTTTAAGTAAATCCCAAGATTTAGGACAAGTTTGCACTGCTAAACTACTTACCTCTGTAGCCATACACATTGAAATTAGAATTTCCAGGATATCTGTTGGAGATCCACAATACGTGGATTAATTTCCTTAGCACTAAAAACAATTATAAGTCCGCTAATGCTTTTCGCTAAGCAATAGCGAGTATAGAGGCTACAGAATGCCTTGCCAAGATGGTTCTCGGTAGAGTTGAACAAAACGCTACTCATTCGACGTATGACAGAACTATCGATATTCGATATAAACCCAACATAACCTGAAATGTGACTCGCAGTTTGTGCATGCCTTTCTAAGGCCTTTCAAGTAAAATTCCCGTCTCACAATTATGGAACATTCATTTTAAAACAATTATTTGCTTATGTCAGTACTCATCGCTACTTTCGCTTGTCGCTGCCACGCCCAGGCATTTATGACCAATAGATGTGCGCAAATTTGAACATCACGCGCTGTTTATCCTAACAAAGCGGAAACAATATTTGAATACATTAATAGGGGGAGTGAGGAATCTCAGCTCACTTCGACAAATGGAACGCTTTGACATGTGGTGCGATTTGGAGTGAGGTAAACTTATCTGAGAAAGTGACAAAAAAAGAAAGCTACTGTAGAAACACGTGACACATCGACAACTGATCGCGCCTTTGAGCAAACTTCCTGCCTGCGCCCATGGTTAATACTATAAAATTAACACTAAGAAATTATTAGCAATCAGATATCAGGTCAAAGGGTCATAGCAGAATTTAATAAGAATCTCTTACGTTGCTACATGTCAAATTTGCCGTATCGTATGTATCCACCTTAACTCAGTATGTCTAATTCAAAGGAACTCCCTTAGGCTTTCGGCATTTAAAAAATGAATTAAAACTTTCAGATTATCAAATTTCAATTGACAGTTTTCAAACGTCAATTAAAAATCGATCTAAAAATGAATTCGATAGTTTGGCTCATCTCTAATTCTTGGTAATTTCGATTGACGTCAGTAAGGTGCACGTCAGTTTTCAGGCAGGCCAGTGACGTCAGATAACTGGGTGGGAATAACCTCTTTATCCTTTTCTATCATTTATAAATTCTAAGTAGTTCTCTTTTTTGCATTTAATTTATGGCCAATACCATTCCAAGGCTGTCTCACTTTAGTAATTGAAAAGGCTCAATCTCAAATAAGATTATTATGACCTGTAAAGATCAGACGATAATATGGTGAAATTAATTTTCGTATGAAAACTTATCTTGAACTTCGACTATTTTTCCATATTGAAAATATAAGACATATTTTTTGCCGTACGGGTTATGCTTAGACAACCAGTATTACTCGGTCAGATGTCCATCAATTTCTCAATTATTCTGAATGCAGGAGGGTGAAGGGGTTCAAAATCTTTTCTTCTTGTGGGCGGAAATAATTTCTTTGTTCGATAGGGATGCAATAATAAATATCTATACAGGAAGACTAGAGATAGGAGGTTAAACCGCCTAAGAAAGACACGTATTCATATGAAACCAACGCTGTCTGTCAGGAAGGTGTGGTTCTCATAAATCTAGCTTGTAGAGCGTTTACGCATGTCTACAAATGCGGGCGAAACCTGTCAAAGTACATTGCAAAAATCCATTGCACTCACGTTTTGCCATGTTGTGTTGGTTTATTAATATTATCCAATATTTCTGCTTGCAACTTTTCTGAACTGTCAAAATTTGGAGTTGTTTACGGTCATGATGACAGAAGCAGAGATATTTAGATATGACTCATTTGCGCAGACCCTGGAATTTCCTGCCCAGCGTACATACGAGAGGCCATATGCGCAGAACCTGTAAATCATTTTCTGCGCCGTGCACTTAGGAAACAGTCCCGCCTACATCGTCAAGAATTTTGGCCTCACCTCTACGACTTGTCTAGTCTTCGTGCATAGATTTTTATAACTTATAATTAATGGTCATTGTTGTCAAACTTTCATGTCATTTTATACGATGTTATAGTGTGGTTTTGCGTGATGTTTTTGAACTGTCCTGCCTATCTATGTAAATAGCGATTTCATGTTTAACGAGTCAAACCCAAAATAAACTTGTTTCAAATACACCAAACTTGTTTTAGATATTCATTTACTACTTTTACAGACTCAAAAAAAATGTTTTCTAGTCAATACACTGATATAAACATTGATTATCGATGTTTATATCCCTGTTGCCCACTGTCATTAATGATCACATGAAAACATGATGTTATTGACAATAGCATTTTTGGGATCATGCTGAATACCATGTTAATGGATGGAACGTGCGAGTTACCGACTATATTCAAATTTCATTCATGGTCCCGCTCCTTCAAAATAAATAACAGCTGTGTTTAAATCTACACACTCCTATTGGCCAGTGGGCTGGCACCAATAAGCAAAGATCAGCGATCGAGAGCTCTTGCGTGTGTTGAAACGAAGTTAACGAGGTATTAGGGTATTTTATATACCAAGCTAGGAAACTTTTACTACAAAAATGAAAATGTTGCGTTTTATCAGAATATTTTTATTCCAATGATCGTTTTACATAACAGATTATTAGTAGCTAAAACTTGAAATTTACAAATTTTGATTTGAGCTGCTAATAATTCTGCGTGAAAAAATAAGAAGTAATATTACAATACGTTATGCTTTTTAACAATATAATACACAGGTGAAAAAAATACAAAAATTTCAAACAACTGCCATATAACAATGAAAAGAGGTAACACTCGAATGGATGAAAAAAAATGTCTACAGATAAACGTGAAACTAATAAGAATTATAGGATTTATTTATACAGGGGATTCACAAAAAAGTAGCAATGTTTCTAGGACCAATAAAAATACCACGATAAATAGGATTTATTTATATTTTTGGATCTACTTATTTGCGTTAGAAATATTGGCACTGCTTTATGAAACGCCCAGTATATAGTTACGCATAAACGTCTACCAGTTCATAAGAGCCAGTCATTTGAAATCATTATTTCAAATCATGATGATTTGTAGAGTGCCCTGTACGATTTTCGATAGAAAACGATTGGACAGAGTGTAAATTAAAAAGATGAACGAATTCTATACAACTATTCTACCTCTTTTAGGTAAAGATTGGAAAAGCCTCTGTCTCTCGAGATTATCCGTGAGAATAAAATGCCAATCCTGTGGTTGTCTCTCTCACTGAAAATATTTATTCTAGACCACTCAGAGATAACATTATCAGGATACCTCAGTATTCAACAACCCTATTTCAACGCAGTTTCTCCTACAATGTTGCCACCATATACAATTCTTTACCAAATTGTATAAGCAATACTCATTACCAGCGTTTCGAGAAAAGTGAAATGATCATCAAAATGATGCTTTTTTTACTTTCCTAATATTTTCTTTGCTTTTCTCTTTTTATATATGAAACAAATGACTGATAATTTTGAAGCCTACCTAGGGAATAGTTTTTTGAGATATTTAAGGTTTGGCGATGTCAGTGTATGGCAACTGTGTTCAATAAGTATCGTACCTTAAATGTGGAGGGCACAGTCATGTGTAGCCCTGAATTTTTTCACACCCGCAGATAGCGTCAGTTGCTGGCAGCCGGCCTACATGTGAAGACGTGTAGAGAGCAGTCGTCGGATTTCGGTTTTTGTAAAATGACAAAAACTTGAGCCGAACACAACATTCCTGTGGTTCGTCAGGCTCCCTACTCACCCGACCTGGCGCAGTGTGACTTGGCTATTTCCTAAGTTGAAAATGCCGCTGAAAACTGGAGTGTTTCCAAAAATGGCGGAAGAGCTGGGATAAGTGTGTCCATCACCAAGGAGATTACTTTGAAGGGGATTCAAGTTTCGGACCTCCAAATCGATAAATATATGTATGCTAACCAAAGGTTCGATACTTTCTGAACACATCTCGTACATTTTCGGAATCAGAATTGAAAACTCTGTACACCTATATAAACATCCAATATGGCGCCCATAAGAAAAAATAAAGTTGATACTGGAGGACGAGAGACGAAATGTCATTCTGAAATTCTAACTATGCGATCTTTGAGAGGAGGAAAAGTGGCAATATTAAATTGCAATTTATTTTGAAATCCCACCAAAAATAGATTAAAAATAATTTAAAGTGAATTTGGGAAAATTCGTTTTTTCTGTCTCTCTCCGTACTTTGGATATTGAAATTTTTTAAGCAGCATTTTGTTAGTTACCTGTTTGATTTATTGGCCAAAATGGAATGTGTTTGAGTAGTTATTCCATTGCAGTCGAAAATACGTCAAACAGTGCTGTGAACTTTTGGTTGCTTGGAATAACCTCGAGGAGTATCTATACACATATTTATATTTATTAAACAATATTGGGAAAATTTTAAAAGCCCCATTCAGTTACAATATCCTTCGCAAACTAACGATTTAAAATGATATACAATCATTCCAAAATAATCACAAAAAATGCAGGGATATGTAACACTATATGTGTATTATGATTAAAAGAAAATGACAACAAACCATATTTTAAAAGTATAACCTCTCAACTAGTTCGATCATTTTTTTTTAAATGTGCAAATGCAACTTAAAATTTCTAATATGGAAAAAAATAAAGTACTTACATAGAGAATACTCAAAAAGAGAAATATAAAGTATTAAGTATTATAGAAAGATGTTTAGGAAAATCTACATTTATCACACCTGTTCAGCGATTTCACTGAAATGAAAAACCGCTAGAAAAACTTATAGAACGTTTTCATGAACTTCAGATGGAAATTCCGTATCTTCATCGACTCTATATATAAAAAAACCATGGTCAAATTCAAAAGGAGTATTCTTAATACTTTTCGTCTAATTGTTTCATGGTATGTATAGAGATAAGTGAAAATTGTGTGTGAATAATCCATCTTTAATTTCCTTGGAAACTCAATTTTCTGCAAAATGAGGTTTTAAGAAAAAAGATTTTTCGGGGAGAAAAAGTGATGAGAATAAGGTAATCACTCATTTCATTCTTCCATTAAAGTGGAATATTCACATATAACTACAGAGCTGTACTAATATTTGAAGACACAAGTGGATAAAGGTGTCATGTAACATTTTTTCAGAAACAACCTTAAGGACTGACTCTTTCATTGTGATTACTTTATTGAAAAAACAATATAATGTCAATAAAGTAAAAAGCCCCAATGAAAAATTTATGTTCAAAGTCAATTTTCTCCATACAATGATTTTGTTACATGACGCCTTTATCCACTTGGGTCTTCATTTGTTAACAATGTCTGAATAAAAAATGCATTTTTTTGTACAAGAAAAAAATTGACATTGTTTTTTAGTCAACTCCATACACTCCATGAAATAATCATATGAAAAGGATTAATTAAAGAGTACTGTTTCAAATATGTAGTTGAAAAAAAAAATATAGAAAAACGGGACGTGTAAAAAAACAAAATGTGAGGCCTGCTCAACAAAATACGTATTAATGTTTTTTGGACGATCTCTACTGCCTATTAGTATTTTTGGGCAAAAATGTCTGTTGATAGGTACATAAGTTTGTTTTATCTTCTTGGTAATTAACGTGCATAAACAAAAAATCGCCTTAACTTAGAGCTTATTTTATACATATAAACAAAATAAATAAGATTTGTCAATACTGATGTAATCTAGTAAAATTACATTCAAAACGCGAACAAGTGATAATTCATTGATTCATAATTAACAACAGATAAATTATGTAATAAATATTGTCAAGAAGCACTGGGTTGAGTTATACCTGGTGTATTCATCTAGATACCATTAATGAGTAATTATGAAACTGCATTTGTAAATCAACTGAACCTGTAAATGTACAAGGTGAATCACTGAATTTACAGCTCTGTGAACACCTTGTTGTCAGACTTGCTGCACCTCAAAACTGAAATAGTGTTTTTGGAACATGTGCCAAAATAAAAGATGATTCTTAAAGAAGGCTATGAGACGATTTTCAAAAACTGATCAGACTTTTGTAAATAACATTTTCTATATACAACGAAAATCTCATATAAAGCTTCTTGATCTACAATATCATTTTCTACAGTGTTTGTAGATTAAGCTGCTTCATATTTGATGTTTGTTGATAAAAACTGTTAATTTCGAAAATAGAAACGATGCAATTTACTTTCAAAAAAGTCCAAAAAATCGCCCATTGGCTTGTTCTATTTGAAGTAACTGCAAGTCCAACCTCTAAAAAACGTTATACTGGTGTAATTAGTGGATCACCCTGTAGGTTCTACAATCAATTTGAAACCAAATACGTATCAGGTACTTAGAATTCATAGTATGTATATGTCTTTATACTTTAAATAACTAAACCAAATAGTTGTTGGTTATACTTTTAACTGATATAGAATATATTATTAATGGGCACTTATCAGTAACGGTTCTTGTACAAACTATATAGATTGAAAAAGTATGGACAACCTTCAATTTCTTTGACCCTCTGATGTTATTATCGTGCTTCACATGTTTAGATTCTTACCAGCAATTCACAAATAACTTTTACTACTCAAAAAATTATGAAACACAAATGAAGAAAATTCGCTAATCCGTTTTTTTGCTTGTCGCTAAAAATAATTTTCTTTATCAGGTTTTGCGTGGAAGTACAAAAATCTACAAACATTTAAATATTTACAAGAAATCGTAAAAAAAAGTAACAATTGATACTAAAAATGTATCTACTAGACTCCATGTTTCAGATGAATTGCAGATATAACCCTTAAAACATGTAAAAATAACTTTGGCGAGAATTTCCTAAATCGTAACTCACAATGCCTAAAATTATTGGTAAGGATTAGAGCTAAGAGAAAGTTCATGCAATAAATACAAGTACCATTAGAATATACAGTTACCAATAATTTATGGGAATAGTTACATTTGTAACTGGCAAAACCAATGGTAGTAACACAGGTTGGGCCATAACGTAGTTCAATAATTATTACTTGTCAAATACATCACATTGTACACAATTAATGACCATCCTGTATGAACTAAAGAAACATATAGAAAATAAAACTAAACCAATCAACAGTGACGAATTTCGGCGTCAACATTATAAAAATAGTACATCGATGTTTCCAGCTACAAATTCAGTTTTGTTTCCATGGTCTCAGATAAAGGATTTACAAAATTGGTGTTGCAATATATCACGATATATATTCTACAGACCAAAAGTCCTCTATGTAACCTGCACATAGTTTTGTCCAATTTTTCCAAGGAGTCAGTTCACCTTCATAATTTACAAACCGATTTTGTTACGAAATAAGTTATTGGATTATTGGAAAGAGTGTATGGCAAAAAAATTGACAGCACATGAAAGAAATAAGGGGATGGTGCTCTTAACAGATGTATCCACGTTATTCTCCTACACCGACTACGGAAAGGTTGCCTGTCAAAGGAGTTGGTGATGAAGATACCGCGGACATCATCCTACACTGTTCCTTCACAACAGGGTCTGAAAAAAAAATTATTGCATGGCAACCGTTCAAAAACGTACGCAAATGCGCAAAGTTAAATTTTAACGAGGTCCAAAAGCTCTAGAGCGACAAAATGCTCGCCAAATCGGTATTTGTGTATCAAGAGCTCAAATGTATGCATAACTGTAGGAGTGCAAACTTACAGAAATAGGCATGATCCATAGCGTCTCTTGCAGTAAGGCGTTCTAAATGATCGTAACGTAACAGCTTATCCAGGAAATCCAATGCTTCAGGTGATACTAAATGTTGATTTTCACTATGGACAAATCGTTCCCATCGTTTCCGAGAATGCCTGAAAAATAACAGAAAATTATTCGATTACATTTCACGTTTATTCAGTACATTCACATTATACAAATTAACGCGCTTTCTTTGACAAGGTCATTATAAACAAACAGTGAAGTTAAAAAAATATGTGCGAGTCTCCAAGATTTAAGATGACCTTGAGACCTTGAATGAATCGTGAAATTAGAGGCATTCCGGCCACCATAAGGAGCCAGTGCATAGGCCGCTTAAGCGGGCCCTTATGCACGTCTACATTCCTTAGATCACAAGCCTCGTCCTTTGAGCTAAGTTGAGAATCGCCTTGAGTCCAAGCTCCTTGACGTTCTGAGGGTCCAAAGTAATGGACCCCAGTATAGTCTGCCTATAGTAAGTAGCTCAGAGCTTCACGGCGACACAAAACGTGCGCCGAGGTCTCTTCCTCTACTCCGCAGCACTCACACAAGGGATCCTCAGCCACCCCCATCACGAATTATGGCCAGACAACAGTCCCGCCAGCAACCTTAGGTTGGCTCTATCCAGAGATAAGCAGAAACGTCCATCCTTAGCATTCGGCGCTTCAATGAGTTCCCGTGCCTGGCGGAGATGTCTGGAGATACTTCTCCATTTCTGAGAGTGTTGTCTTGCCGTCACTCCTAGAGCTGGCTCAGGACCAACGAGCTTGCTGGCTGATCCTGTCTTCGCCAGAGCTTCCGCCGTCTCATTGCCCCTTATCCCAGCGTGCCCCGGTACCCACAATAACGATAACGGATGCCTCGCTGCGAGGCAATCCAGAACCTCCCTGCATTGCAACACAAGACTCGAAGTAATCTTACAGGAACTTAGTGCTTTCATTGCAGCTTGGCTGTCGGATAAGATTGTTATTCTTCTCCTAGGCTCACCCTCCTCCAGAATGCGAGATACACAAGCCAGAATCGCAAAGATTTTCGCCTGGAAAATAGTGATGTATCTACGAAAGGCAGAGATAGCCTAGTTCTAGGCCCAGAGACCCCAGCACCTGATCCTTCTTCGGTGACCGAGCCGTCCGTGTACCAGACCTGCCCGCTAACTCCGGAGAGTCTCTGGCTACCCCGTCCCACTTCTCCCTCGTTGGATAATCCACAATAAACTTGCGGTTGAAGCGATATTTACGGGTAATACAATCACCCCTGCTTAGAAGGACGGGGTCCTCTCTTTGCAATTCTACTAAGATGGCAGTATGCTCCTTGACAGAATTCAAGAAAGCCCAGCTGCCCTGACTCCACAGTCGATGAGCGACTACTATAGCTTCACCGCGGATCACCAGATCCAATGGTGGGAGATCCAACAGAGCTTCCATTGCACTCAATGGCGTTGTTCGCACTGCGCTGTAATGCTAATACAGGCCAAACGCTGAATTTTATTGAGTTTGGCCTTAGTTGTCTCAGTTCTAATGCAAGGCCACCAGACCAAGGAGCCGTACAAGAGAGATGAACGTACTATCTTCGTGTAGAGCCAGTATACCACTTTGGGTTTAAGCCACCTTACACCAACAACACGTCTACAGGCCCACATTGAATTGCGAGCCTTGTTAACCTTGTATTCAACATGCTCTCTCCAGTTCAGTTTGCAATCCAGGATAATTCCCAGATATTTCGCTGACCGGGATAGAATTAATCTAGTCCGAAAGAAGGTCGGCATGACCAGGCCGTCACGCATTTTTCTCCTAGTGAATAGGATCAGCTCGGTCTTTCCAGTATTAACAGAAAGATCGACTTCCCTGCATCACGATTCCACAGAGCGCAGAGCGCCCCACATAATTTCAGAGACTGTTCTACAAAAACGTCTCCTAACTACTATGCTTAAGTCATCAGCATAGGCTTGCACGTAGACACCCATACTGCTGAGCCTAACGAGGAGTTCGATCACCACGATGCACCACAGTAGGGTTGACAGAACTCCGCCCTGAGGGCAGCCTGTAGCTAAGCTGATGCTGCAGCTTACGTCATTCAGCATAGCTGTCGCTACCCGACCCTCCAGAGTAGATGGGACCCAATCTATTAGGATTGATCCAACCCCGTGTCTAACCAAGGCATGTCTGATAGAGTCGGTTGTGGTCCAATTAAATGCACCTTCAATGTCCAAAAAGGCCACGAGTGCCACTTCGCGCTGATCTAGAGTCTTCTCCAGCCTACCGAACAGATTTTGTAAGGCGAAATCAGTCGATTTCCCAGCTTGGTATGCAAACTGATTTGCGTGAATCACACATCCCTTAAGTATCTATCAAATATCGCTTCCAATGTCTTAAGCACAAAAGATGAAAGAGTAATCGGTCGAAAATCCTTGAGACCTTAAAAACTAACCAAGCTGAAAAATCATATAAGCTGGTATCAGACATATAAGCAACTATTTTAACCAACACAAAAAAGTTACTGACATAATGTTAACAAAAATAATGTATCTTACCTTCCCAAAATATCATTGAACCTAGGATCAAGTTCTATGTGGTATTTGTCCAAATATTCAAAAAGCTCTTCCGTTCCTAAGACTTTGGCTATACGAACTAACTGATCATAATTATCATGTCCATGGAAGAAAGGTTCTTTTCTAAAGATCATTGATGCCAACATGCAGCCTAATGACCACATATCCAATGAATAGTCATACATCTGATAGTCAACCAATAATTCGGGACCTTTGAAGTACCTAGACGCTACTCGGACATTGTATTCTTGCCCGGGATGATAGAACTCGGCCAAGCCCCAATCTATTAAGCGTAGTTTACGATTTTCGTGGTCTATCATCACATTATGTGGTTTTACGTCCCTGAAAAAAAAAAGACAATCCAATCGGTTTGAGCCTTGCCGACATTACCAGGAGACAATGAGAGTCAACAAAAATGGCCATTCTCGCATTTTTACTTCATATGCCAGAACTGGCAAGGAAGTATTGTAATCGTAAAAAATTTCCGAAACTGACATACCATGTTTTGTGTATGTTACCGGGTGCGCCATCTTTTATGTCGGTATTGAAACATCGGATGACTTTGATATTTATCAACCGACGCACCGACGGATTTGGTTATACGTGTTTCTGAAACGTCAATTTACTACAATTTTAGTCATGAATCGCTTTACACCGAAACAACGCGCCGAAATAGTCACAATATACATTGAAAATCGTCGTTCAGTTGTGTTAACGCAACGTGCATATTGTCGAAAATATCAAGGCAAACTGACAACACTATCAGTCGTTTGGTTTCGAATTTTATTGAGTACGGGACAGTGCGAGATCGTCAACATACCGTTCATCAACGACCAAGACGTTCCAATGAATTGGTTGAAGCGGTCAGAGACAGCGTTGCCCAGAACCCAAAAGTGTCGTATCGTCACCGCGCTCAGCATTTTGGCATCAGTGGAACCACGTTGCGGCGCATTTTGAAGGATGATTTGCATTTGTTTCCTTATAAAGTGCAGTTAACACAAAAAATATTGCCAACTGACCGTCCACGTCGCTTGGAATACGCCCAAACAGTCGCTCGCATGGTTGATGCTGAACCTGATTTTTGGAAGCAAATTGTGATGATCGACGAGGCCCATTTCACGCTCTCTGGCGGCGTTAATAAGCAAAACTGCCGCATTTGGGGGACGGAAAATCCACATGCGATCCACAAAATGCCGTTGCATGACCGAAAATGACTGTTTGGGCCGGCGTTTGCGCCACAACCATCATTGGGCCATTTTTTTTCAACGAAAACGAAACAGTCGATGGAAATCGATATCGGTGGATGTTGGCTCATTTGTCCACAAATGCGTGAAAAAGGTCTTGATGGTTACTGGTTTCAACAAGACGGTGTGCCATCCCACACTGCAAATGATACAATCCAGTTTCTGCAACGAAAATTCCCTGGACGTTTGATGTCAAAAAGAGGTGACATTGACTGGCCACCCAGGTCTCCAGATTTGACCCCACCGGACTTCTTCCTGTGGGGTTATTTGAAAAGTCAAGTGTACGCCAGCAAGCCCCAGACCACTGAAGAACTCAATGCAAACATTCGTACCGCAATCGCCGCTATACCACCAGAGATGCTCGAAAAAGTAATGGAAAACGCAGCAAGACGAGCACATTTTGTTTTGGCCAATAAAGCTGGCCACTTGATAGATGTTGTGTTCAAAAACTAGTCCCGATAAATACACAAGGACAATATTTAATAAAACTACCCGATATGTAGAGATCAGTTTTTCGTTTTCAAAGTTATTTCATGTTTACATACCGACATAAAACAGGGCGCACCCTGTATATGACACGTACATTACGAAAAACCATGTCACTGATTTCCATCGGTCTGCCGGTAATAATAACTGGAGAAGTACCGCTCGGATTTCGATGAAATTTTCACGCAAGATTACTACTATGCCAAGGATGACAGTTTTGTAGTTTTTGAAAATCGGCCTAGTGGTGGCGGAGCTAGGGGGAAAACATGAAAAAAAAAATTATAAAAACCGCAAACTTCGTTTTTTGACGTTTCAGAGGCTTCGGATCATTTTCGGAATTTTTTTGTATGGGATGAAACTTGGGTGTTGTGGGTTGTAAATGTAACGTCAAACACGTTCTATCGTCAACAAGCTTCCGATGTCGGTAATAACACAGAAATTAAAGGATAAAGGTCTGATGTACGAGGGTTGTATAAAAAATAAAGTTCCCAACGCTGTATCTTTGCCGCGCGTGATAATACGCGAAATATGGCGACACCGTCGTGTTTGTCGGCGCCCCCACCACCAATCCCAACAAGAAGCGCCTATGTGCGACGCTCAGTACCGTAATGGGGCCTATCATCGCCGTCACCGCCTGGGGCGAAATTCGTGCGATCATCCGCAAAAACGTTACCACTCATAGGAATTCATAGCCACTTGTATGAAGTATATGGGGAAACGTGTATAATCATTCAACATATCCTCAAATACGCATCTTTTTATTATGTTCGCGTATCTTTCGCTATGTAACATTTCAGATATAAAAAGTGATGCATCCAAGTCCAGTTTAGCAAATTTTAAGTATCAACAACGTAATGTTTCCACAAACTGGCAACGCCGGAATGTTTGTCAATAGTTAGATATTTCTGTGTTTTCGCGAGAATAAAATAATCTATCGTAGGCTTTATCGCTTTTAAATCTATGAATGTCGCACAACATTCTACTAGCTATAATGTGGAAAATCGCAAGTGACTGGACATGAAACAATTAAATCAATACAATGAAACCTAAAAATAGCTTTGCAACCGTTACAAGAATCGTATTCAATTTGATCTTGACTGCACGATCTGAACAAATTTATTGAAGATCATGACGATAAAATGTACTACCCAGCATATCTGAGTTGGTGCGTTGGACGTCTGCTTATAAATAAAACAAAATACTATAGATCTGATGACCTTATCAGTTCAAACTTCCTCGGGTATTTAACACGTTTAAATAAACATAATTCGCTAGAATACTTCGCTAAATTTAGCGTTCGTATTTACAGAAATCGAAGCGGTAGCTCAATGCCTACCCATGATGAAAAATGAGCAATAAACGTGGGATAAATACGTTTCATTTTCACAGCTCCATACAGGGGTGCGTTTGTAAATCACTTGGCACTGTAATAATTCTTACTCCCAAGATTTTGAGCACGGGAAAAAAGTACACTTTTGACGTTCCAGAAAGATGTATTTCCGAACGCTTGGAACGAGTACGTCAAACAATTACGAACGCTGAAATTGTTAGAGTAGAACAAACTACACTCTGTAACAATTCACAAAAAAATATTTCCATCAGAATTCTCGTAATTACATGAGCATTTTTATGCACAAATTTTACGTGTCGTGAAGCTGAATTTGGACTTGTCACCGGTCCTGGCGTTGGTTAAGCGATAGATTAGTTCTCAGCTAATCTTCGCCATTTTGGTTTCGCATATACAGATATACACTACTCAAACAAAATAAGGAAGCAAGAAAAAAATCTAAAGTTTGTGGTGATCTTTGGAAGGCTGTATTGTATGTCTGTCAAACATGATCGTATCTAGACTTTAAAAAAAACATTTTGAAGTTTTAAGATTCTAGTTTGCAGGTTTTTTAGTCTAAAAACTTTAGGAGCAACGTTTCTCAAGCTATTCTAAGATATAGCGCAATGACATTTTTTGCAAAACTTTTGCCTTATTTTTAGTCCACGCGCTTGACAATTTTTTTTTTCTGTTAGCCCATCATATGGATCAGATAGCCTGTTTATTAAGCTTCGATATCCTATTTCTTTAAATTCCGATGTAATCATTTGGCGCAGAGATATCCGACTTTGAATGAAAAAGAATCCTTTTGTTATCGACCCACTGATATCTCGGTAACCATCAATCCCTTCTATGTGATATCCATAATATGGGGGTGATAATGGAAATTATAAATCGAGACCTTGAATCTAGAATGACGTCACGTTGCTTACTGTGTCTCTCCCATCAAGCCCTTTCAGTTGATAACCATATCATAGGAGTAAGTAACTATAGAACTTATGAACGCCATCTTGCAGCGGTCGACATATTTGATTTGAAATGACGCCACTTTGCTTGTGGTGTTTCTCTCAAGCCCTTTCTTCTGATGACCATATTATAGGAATGACTATGGAAATTATAAATCGCCAAATTGCGGCCTCCGGGAATAATAAACCGTCATTTTGTAAATTTTGCAAAACATGTATTTGTGCTATCTGCTAGAATTGCATAAGAACCGTTAGTCCTAAAATTTTTCGGCAAAAAAAACAAAAAACTAGGATCTTAAAACCTCAAAATGCTTCTTTTTAAATCGAGATACGATCTCTTTCATCGAAAAACAACCAAATCACATTTTTTTTTGCTCAATTTTTTTCAGTAGTGTACAGTAGAATTATTATCTTTGTATTTTTGTTATATTATATCATTAAGTGGTGGCAAGTAAATTCGATTATTATTATTATTATTAAATTGACATCGGAATCGGAATTTATCCGATTCATCCAGATCATTGATACGCAATAATGTTTGAATATATTGTAAATAAAAAACTTAAAAATATTGTACGACTCTGTAGGGTAAATGCGAATTTGGGGTAGAAAATGAGCCCCTGGTAAACTCTGTCGGTCTTATGCCCAAACTGATGTAAGGTATGTGGATATTAATCGATTTTGATAATGCTACAAACAAAACTACACCAAAGCCAATCGGCCATGTTGCTGGGCCACTGCGTCGTCTCCCGCTACCTATGTAAAGTACAAACGAGTAAAAACAATGCAAATTATACAGCCGATGCCTATCGCATATCACCCGCCAACACGGCCGAATATAGCTGAATGTATTTTAAAAATTGACTTACCTATGCATAATGCCCATACTGTGACAATAATCCAATGCCTTCAGAAGTTCATACAGATAATATCTAATGTCAAAATCCGTAAGAGTTTGGTAAAGTTGCTTAAAATCTGTATTATTAACATGTTCAAATATAAGTGCGGGTGTCCTTGACACTGGGTCTTTTACAACAGCTTCTAGTGTTATTATATTTGTACCACCTCGTAAGTTCTCTAATATCTTTATTTCTCTTTTAATTTTCTTCTTTTTAACAGGCTGAAAGTAATGTCAATTTATATAATCATGTAGAAATGTGTGCAGGAGAGGTGAGAAATAGTTCCTTTCAGTGTTTCAATTCCACGGTATTAACACAGCATACAGGGTGTCCCATCCACGCGGGGATGGAATAATAAAACCTTCCAGAGATAACTATGGCATATCACAGATAATTTTTGTTTAAGGAATGCCCTATTTCCTTATTATATATTCAGACAAACCTTTTGAGTTCCACTTTGTACAAGCTTTCCCCCGATATAAAAGCTTTCCCCCGATATAAAGGCCAAGTGGTTTTGTGTGACTAGTTTTGCAGTTATAGTCAATTATTTATCAGATAGGCTCATCAACCGTATAAAAAGAGTATACGAGAGCGGTCCGATAAGTATTTAGTCTCACCGCCCGCTGGCATCACTATCGCAAGAGGAATTTAATATCTCGTAGACGGCCACTGTCAAAATTTCAGCCCAATCGGACACGTAGTTTTGTTTGACCGCGTGTGGGAGCGGGCATGTCTGCGGATTTTAGAAGAATGGAAAAAGAGCAATATCGTTCGGTGATTCGATTCTTGTTTTTTGGAAGGGAAATCGCGCTGCAAAATCAAAGACCGCTTGGATAGTGGGTGTGTACAGTGATTTCTCCTTCGATGTAGACCGCCAAAAATTGGTTTAACGAGTTTTAACGTGGTCGCACGTCGGTTTTTGATGAGGCACGCCCAGGTGCCCCGAAAACGGCTACCACCGAGGATTACGTGACAAAAATCCACGATCTCGATTGAAGGTGTGCGAGATAGCTGAGACAGTAGGCATCTCAAAAGACCACATGGGCTTTCAGCGCGATGGGTGCCACGTTTGCTCACTCCGAACTACAAGCCCGGAGAATGTGCTCCGAAGAAGGCGAAGACTGTCCTATCGACCGGAAAGGTGATGGCCACCGTTTTGTGGGATTCACAAGGTGTGATCTACATCTACTACCTGGAAGGGTGAAATGGTCATAGGGCTCTACTATGCCGAATTATTGAGCCGTATCGATGCCGAATTGCAGAAAAATAAGAAAGAATTAGGTTACGAACTGCTGCCCCATCCATCGTATTCCCCAGATTTGTCCCGTGCGACTTCTTTTTGTTCTCAAACTTGGAAAAGTCACTCGCCGGGCAGACATTTGAAACGAATGAGGAGGTTATCGCTGCCACCGGGACCTACTTTGCAGTCGTCCAGAAAACGCATTTTTCATATGGGTACAAATTACTTTTTTTCTTTGTATGCTAAGCACTTATCGGACCGCCCTCGTAAAAATATATCAAACGTACTATTTTTGGACATAAGGAAGCACAACTGGAAAATATTATATCGTAATTTCATAAAATATTTTACATTAGTTTGGGCAGCAAAAGGATATCGTAGACCTTTGGAGCATACCATTAATGTAAATAATACTGAGAATGTATTATTGTTTAATTTAGGCTATCGGCATAACTTTCAATGTAATTTTTGGTACTTTCACATGTGGATTAGAAAGACAAGTTGATTACTGAGAGCTTATTTGCCAAAGTGACTCGCAGTGTCACTTTTATATTGTAGATTCAAAATATTGTCATACTTCATTCAAGATATAAAACGATTTATTTTTATTATAAAATTGATATTTTATTCTTGGCTGTTTCTGTCTGAAAAAATACTCAAATATGGACTTGCTTTGCGTGTAATTTTGAACAAGTTGACGTAACTCAAAAAGTTCATAAAAATTCTATTAACCTTTATACCAGAGAAATTATTGTAAAAAGTGGAATGCAAAAATTTTTTTTAAGGAAAAGTAGATTTTGCGTTTTTGACCAGCCTGTATTGACCATTCAGAAACTTGAAAAACTTTGTCAATCATATTGCAATTAAGGGTAATGCAAATGTTTGATACAAAATTCTTATAACTCCAAACATAGCAGGTGTGCAGGCTGTCAAACTTAAGCTTTTTTTCACATAAAATACCCAATAGCTCAACAACTAATCAAATCCCACAAGTATGTTATAGCAATATACATATATTTAAAATGATCTATCTGAATATGTCATAAAAGACAGGCATTCCATTTAAAGAATCAACGTTGAAATATGGGTCAAAATTTTGACTTCATTTTATTTATATCCCCACGACACAATGCATAATAACCCATAAATAGTTGTCTTTGAAGTTTATTTTTTCCGTCCCCGCTTGAATGAGACACGCAGTATTTAATTAACATTTAACGCGACTACCGCTAACGGCTAAAACGTGTATCTCGCGCGCGACTACTTAGTATCAGCCACGCAAGATTTTTTCACGTGACAGCTTCTAACAGTGTGTGCCGAGCTCTCAAGATCTCAAAAAAAAATTCAGCGTGATTTTGAGGGTAGTAAATACGCTGTGACCCAGCTTTGGTATAAGTAAACCACACGACTCAACGGCAATGTATCCTGAGATTGCATAATATATATATAAACTGAAAGCTGTAAATCTACTTTTGAAATGACTAACCTGAATAGATCTATAGCACTGCCCTGATGGTCTATTTTTGAAATAGGTTACTTAAATATTAACAGAAGGATTAAAACAGAATTGAATTTAATTTGTATATCACCAACACAAATGCTTATATAATCTTATAATCCACGATGTGGCATCAATACCGTGAGGATATGCTTTCCTTTGCACGAGATTATATAGAAAAAAGCATCAAGCAGGTTGACTCTGTCTTCATCACATTTTTAGGATATCTTTTTTTCTGTGGTCAGATTTACGTAATTGACGAAAAGCATTGTATAGGACGAGTAATACATTTTTAATTTGAATATAATAAATCTAAATATAACAAAAAAAAACAGTAAAATAGTAAAAAATAAGATTTAACAGCATATATCACAATATTCTTCCACACTATAAAAGTTATTTTCAATTAAATAGTCTTTTAAGAGATTCTTAAACATCTTTAGTAGTTTAGTAGGTTAAAAATGTTTAGGCCAGTAATAGTTCTATATGCTATTTCACGAGTATTCATCATGCATTGACGTCTACTGAGGTGAACAGCTGATCAGTAAGTGATATGTTTGGGTTACTCTGCAACGTTGGCAAGAATGAATCAGGGTTAAAATAGTAAAACTTGTCTGTAGCTTTTTGTCTAAACAAAAGGGCTTCTAGCAAGTACAAAATCAAAACATAAAAACAACTAAAGCAAAATATGGCTCTGTCTACCTGGCATTGATGGATCACTCAGAATTGTGCCCTCTGCCAATATGGGGAACTTTGAACTCTTACTAGATAATTAGCAGTAATTCTACCGTAATGGATATTCGTGAAAGAGACAATTATTTTCTTCCAAAGAATGCTTAGGCCAGTAATAGTTCTATAGGAGAAGTCGACGTCAAGTCGTGTACTTTCAAATCATAGGTTTTCAAAAAAATCGGAAAAATCTATAGCGTGTTGAGTGTAACAAGCCTATATAGAAAATGGGGAAAGGCAGGAAACTAATTTTTCATGTAGGTGCAAACATAATGCTTCAGCTTTGAAGCACATAAGTTTCCAGTTTTTTTTTGCTGTTTAAGGCATGATCAACAGCCCTTTAAAACTATAAGCAACTGGTTTTCTAGATTGATGTATAAAACAGGAGCAGGTAATAAAGGTGAAAAAGCTTGAATTATTTACCATCCTAAAACTGCCCTAATATTCCCTGGCTCTCAAAAATAGCTGAGCAAAATTATTAATACAAACCTTTAATATTTTAACTACACATTTTTCATTATTAGTTATATTGATGGCTTCAAAAACTTCACTGTATTTTCCCCTTCCTAGCTTTCTCACTAACTGGTAGTCATCTTGTTGGCCCCAGTCTACTACATAACTCTCATAATCCCAATACTCCCTTGGTTTGTGAGAGTTAACATCAGCGTAAACTCTTGCTCGACTAGGTACTGCCATATTTTTTGAAAGGACTATACTATTTACAAATTGTCGGACATAAGACTTGTTCCCTTGCCTGCAGGCTACAACAAATACTTTAGGTAAATAATTGAATACATTTTAGCTCTAAAAATTTGAGTTGTGCAACCTTAACAAATTATGTATAAAAGTGATACACAAACACTTTTACATTATATCTCCATCATTTGGAATCTACAGATGTGATTTGGAATTGAAATGGGATCATCAAGATTGTAATAACTAATGAAGATGGAACAACTTTTGGACCTAACCATTTTTTCCAAAGTTTTCCTGGATATGTTCTATATCAACTAAAAATAATATCTGCTCAATAGAAGTATATTGTGCAATTACATTCCAAGCATCTATTTCTTGAAAATCAACCAAGAGCAATAACGAAACCAAAATTTTATAATAAATGTAATGTTTGTTTTTGGTTATAATCATAATAATAATAATGGTTATTGGTCTAATTCATATAAATAATAATGGCAGTGTCCAATAAACATATTATATCCAAAAAAGTGACTTGTGCTTGGGTTTTAACCAACTTGAATTACATTAATACTGCAAATTTCCTATTAAGTATACTAGCCAAACGTATAAATTTTGCATCAATTTATTATCAAATAACATATTGGTTTTTAATGTCTACAAACTTGTAACTTATAGATTTGTAGCTTTGGTTGATTCAGGATCCATAACTGTAATTCAATTTTTAAATGTTTTTTACATTTTATATGTTTAAAGTTTGCAGGAACAACATTATAAAATTTTGAGCACAGAAAGTAGAATTATCAGGCTGATGGTTTTATTTAGTCTAGGAATTAGAACAGATGATATAAATCAAAAGCAAGAACAATTTGATGCAAATAGATATTTAAAACATAACCTGAAAGTAGAGCGCTGACACGAAACAGTAGAAAACTATGGAAATCAAGGAGGCCTTAAAGGCGTCCTACAATTTACTGTAAGAATGACTGATGATACAATCCTAACTGAACTATGACTCTTGATAATTTTGATGTTGCCTTGCAATCATACATATTCACCTAATTCTGATTTCTATACCAAACTTATCAAAGCAGTGTTGATAGCAGGGTATACAAACTGTAACAGAAGTTTGGAACCCAGCAAATATTTGATGAATGACACGTCTAATCTTCTTAAAAAATGGTAGGTTTAGGTAGGAAACCATAGCGGATCCGTTGACGATATCCACGATACTGCCAAATCTACATAGTAGTTTTCAAAATATTTACCGTCAAACAATATTTATAAACAATAGGAGGTATTTTTTATATCCCAACCGGAATTGAAATTACTTTCGATAGCGGTCAATGCTTAGGTGAAAAAAACACCTTTTATTGTTTGAATATTAATATTTGACTGCGAATTTTTCTAAAACTATGAGGTATATGTCAAAGTATGTTCAATAAAAAGTATTCAGAATTTATCACAGAATACAAGTATCGAACAAAATCTATCGCATTCCATTAGAAAAACAAAAGTTGCTATCAGTTTCTGGAAAACTGTAGATATGGCAATATCTGATCCACCATAGTTTCGAAACCTAAACCTACCAATTTTTTAAAAAATTAGATGAGTCTTCCATCAGATGTTCGATGCATTCCAAACTTTTGTTAGTCTGTATGTATCAGAATCAGTCCCAAGATATCTATGATTTGAGGTATTTGAAGTGTGATTAATTGGAAGCATTTTTGTTATTATCTGAGTGATGACCTTTAAAGGAAGTATATTGCGTGCGCTATTGCTCAAGTTGAAATCAGGAAATGTTATAAGAGTAGCAGGTGCTCATGCAAAGTATATTTCAAGATGAAGCAGGTCCATAGATAGAAACCTAAAGACTAGTACACCACAACCACTATAAGGAACTTAAAGAGTCCTTGTTAATTCGATTTTTGAACTGCCTACAGTTAGTAGAACTGGGAAAAACTTCCTGAGGCAGATTTAACCACAATCTCCACACTCAAGAACAAAAGAGCGGTCAGATTGACCAGTTCTCAATGTACAAAGTTTGATGAAGTTAGAATGGGAGGCAGATGCCTAGCACATCTATCAGGCACAATGAACAAAACTGATCAACATGATCACTGACTGCCCATTGGTTGAACCGTTGTGCAGCTTAGTCAATATTTTTTATTAGTGAAGTGCCATACTGTATTTATGGTATTCTCATTTTTGTATTTAAGATTCTTTCAACAGTTAGGTATATGGTTTTCACTGCAGATTAAGCAGCTACAATAGTGAGTTAAAATTGAAATCATTTCATATGTTGACATTACATTTTAGGAACATTCTTGATATAGCTTTCAAGCTTATCTATTACAAAACAAATACATTCAAAAAGCATATGCTCAATATCTTCTACTTCTAATTGTTGAAAGTGAACAACACAAGAACCCTTGCAGCTCAAGTTTTGAAATTACTTGATTGAATTGCTGACATATGACCATCACAAACACTGAATTTGAATCCTGTATATTTCTGAGTTGGTTTTGGGAGGAGACTGCAAAAAAAAACAAAAAAAAACTGCTTAATGTCATTGTGGGGTCAATTCAAATTTAGAAACGACTACATTTAAACTACACTTGCATGCGAGTAAGCAGGTTTTTTTACAGAAATGTGAGTTATTTTTGAGTATTCATAATAGAAAAATAAAATAGCAAAAATAAATCTTGTTGAGTTTAAACTACTATAATTGCTGCTCCTGGGCCTCAAACTGGTAAAGATGCCCAAAACCATCTACCAAAAAATCATCCACTGTGACATCATTAAGCTGTAACCTTGGCTATATTTTTTATGCATTAATTTCTTGGAGAACATATCAGGAAGCTTCAGAAAAGGCATAGGAGCTTGAAGTTTGTATATCACATCTTGAATGCTTTGATTTACACAAGTTGTGTCCTGTGTTCAGACTGAGTAACTACCTGGCTAATTTAAATCTAGGCAAAACTGGGAACTTGGTAAATTAGGCTGAGTATGTCAAATACTTGGATTCCTATTATTGTAAGAAAAGAAGAAAACTCTACCCGATAGTAACAATGATCTAGTATTACACATACCCCTTTATAGCTACATTTACAATAATTAGCCTACACAGATTAGTAGTATTTTCAGTTATAGGTCTATGGATGTTAAATTTGCACAAACTTATACCAATAAAGGTATGATGCCAAAATCATCTCACAGTGCTACAATAGGAAATAAGAGTATGTAACAGATTGTGTGTTGAAAATTACCTTAATATTTACAGCGCACAATGAGTTGATAATGACTCTTTACACATATCAGAATACATTTGGCATATTCTACAATAATTCTAGATTAAATGCATGTGCTTTTTGCTTTAGTCTAAAAGGTATGCAACTAAGGGGAATGGATATGTATGAAAAAATAGAAGGTTGGATGCATGCTATGAGATGTATGGAGATGATGCAGATGTAAAATTTGGTAATGCAGAAAGTATTCTGATGTGTGCAGAATGTAAATCAAATTATAGTGTCTCAAGTTACCTTCTTTTAAGCACAATTTCGCTATTCTAGAACATTTAATCAGCATAACTATATGTCATATTCCTCAAATTTGAGATTTTCGTAACCATTTGTCTCGTTTAGATAGACACTGGCCATTCCCCTCATACACAAACTAGACTTAGCAAGAACGGATAAAGGCTACACTTAAATACACCATACCTAATTCATTCCTTCGGATTAGTATAAAGTTGAGAGTCCTAGTAACATAAAGCGGTTCGAAAATACCAACAAGCTTTCCAAATAAATTTGTGTGTGTTTAAATTCACTGGCAAAGCCGGCTTCTTTTTAGTAAGAAATGAGAATCAAGATGGAAGTTGAGTCCCATCCCGCCACTATAGACTGAAATGAAGGCTTATTTCAGTATACCCAATACCCCTCTAAAACTACATTGCACAGGCCAGTGGCGTACTGCACCACCCAACCCAAAATGTGCTTGACGAAAGTCGACAGAAACGTGTCCATATACTATTATTTATCTTGCTAACCAGTTCTGGATATAATATTTATGACTACGATCTATAATCTTACCTCTGGAAGTTTTTTTTTTGAGAAATCACTGGTGTTGTAGAACTGAGTATTGCACACCACTGATATTAATGGGAAACACAAGCTGCCTAACATAACAAAGGTGGCGGAACTTATTGCGCGAATATTTGAACACCCATCATATTTCGAATATATTTTTCACACTTTGGATACCTTCTCACTTACATAGGAGAAGTAAATAGATAAAACTCCAATTAACAATTATCACATGTATGTTTTATACCTCAAGCAACTGTAATTTCAGTATACTATCGGACAGACGAAAGAAACACGTTTTTATTTTTGACAAACAGGAAGCCAACAAACATAGCCATAAATTCCCAACTGCGTGAATCCAGTATGGTGATGGCACCAGTGACACAATCACCGCGATCAGAAATTGATGTCCAGATATCCAAAACAGTTTATCGAGAGATTTCAAGTTTATCTCTAGTTCAGCATAATTCGCAGAGAGTTATTTATCTTATTTTATTTATCGGGCTATATACATGATTCAAACAGAAATACGTTATTTTGAAATGGAAATATCAAAATCACGGAAAAGCGACATCTGTACAAAAATGTACGAAGTTTTTTCTCAGACGAGATACAGGTGTTTCAAATTTTTACTATTGTTACACTATCATTCTTACTACTTGAAATTGTATAAATATGGAAGGTATACCTTCAATTGAGGTGTTCAAAACCGTTACAATTATATGTATCAGTGGCTGCCTAACTTTAATTAACATAAAAAGCACTATTTGGTAAAATACATTTTACCTATATTTCATTAAAATATAGATTGGAAACATTTAGTGAAATTCATTTTTTAGGGAAAAATGAAATACTAAAAAGGTACGAATGAATGGATCAGTGTTAACAACAGTTAAATATAAATTTGTCAGTGTTGCCAATCATCAATTATTCATTCAAAAACATATTCTTGTCCACCATTTTCATCCTTGTTACTGTAACCTAAGTTGTTTGGCGATTGACAACATTGACAAATTAGTTATGGCAACACTGAGCCCATAACTTTATTGATCAATGGTTGGCGACAGTGTCTTTTCATAAGGTTTGTTCCGACACGGGTAGCGAACACGTTCAGAACTAAATGCACATGCGCATTGCAAAAAATCCATCCAGCGGTGCATGTTTCAGTTTAATTTATTAATATCCCTTGAACCAGTCCAGCATCTGTAGTATTAGTTTGAAACTAGATCGTTACTTAAAAATATGTACTAAATAAAATTAGAATTATTTATGGTACACACAAAACTTAAACATAGGCAGTTGAAGGTTAGGCATATTTGTTTTCTGTCTAATCCTCGGGATTAGAAAATAGTATTGTGCAAAGTAAAGTCTCTTCAACTATTATATTTTTGGAATATAGAAATAGCAAGCAAATAAAACATAACTGATATACATCTGGTAGAACATTTTGTCGGATAAAAAGAAGCTAACATACTGGCAAAAACAATCCAGTCTGGTACTTAATTGTATAGTAGGCAACCCAAATCTGCGCCTATAATGTGCCAGACTACATAGAGTAGGCTTATGTATGACTGGTATGGAGGATAAAACTGCATAGACTTACATACACGGTAGAAATTCCGAAAAATCGGTAGGTTCGGCAACATTGCCGAAATCGCTCATCTATGATCTATGGAGGTAGAAAGGCTTGCCTTGGAACTTACAGGATGCGGTGATGTCAAACGAACCAATGACGTAATGTTGCAGAATTTGTGGCGATCCTGACTTGTCATTCCGACCTAAAATAGGGCGCCGTTAGGACCGATCGGCAATCAATCCTAAACAGATTCGACACAAGTCACTATCCAAAAATGTGTACGCTCAAAATATGACCATTAAGGCGTACTGAATAAGCTAAAGCATTTTTCAATCTTAATTCAAGGCACATGTGTATCATATTGGCAGCGCAGCAGATTGCACGACCTTCTGCGTCACCGTTGTTAGGCAACGTGGCGATGAGCTTCGCTATCCAGCCGGCTTCTATCTCTTTCTATATGTGCCTATACACGCTTCTCTCTCATAGAACTCTGCCAAATTTGGTCCTTTAGGCCCGAATCGTCAGTCGTCCCTACAATTGTAGGGCGCGTTTATGGCCTCCTTGATTGTCATAGTTTTCTACTTCTCCGTGTCAGAACTCTATTTTGAGGTTATGTCACAAACATCTATTTGCATCAAATTGTGCCTGCTTTTGAGTTATATCATGTTTTATTAGCCTGAAATTTCCTACAATTTAAAAAGAAAACATATCTTCACAATAGGAGAGCGCTGACGCTGACACAGGACAAGTGTAATCTAGACATTTTTAAGGAGAGAAAGGTGTATGACAATCAAGCAGGCCATAAACGCGCCCTACAATTGTAAGGACGACTGACGATACGGGCCTTAGTCTACAAGTAGTGTATAAGTTTTGGTAAGATTTTTTTTGAATGTATCAAACAGGCTAACTAGATGTCGTTAGAAATCTAAAGTTTACTAGATATTGAGATGGTGCAATTTAAAAACCGCTACAATGTCCTTGCCTTTTTCTATGTTTTTCAAACATTTTGAGTAAAGTTCAACATTTCGGAAAAAATGTCTTTAAAGAGTCAAAAATATGTTTCTATTTGTTTGCAAAATGTAAAAATAACGATCAGTTAGAAATGATAGGTGCTTAAAAGAATCTGAGTGATGTATGTCACATGTTTCGAACCCCAAACCGTTATCCTGAAAGAGTTGTATTTTGCCAATGGTTTTTAGAACAGTCCAGCAGAAATGAAGATTTTACGAAATTAATTTTGTGTACAGAAGAGGCCACATTAACCCGAAATGGAGTGCACAATTTCCACAAAAATCATGTTTGAGCAGTAGAAAAATCCGCATGCTGTAAACAGAACTCATTTTCAACATAGATTTCCATTAAATATTTGGGCTGGCGTGGTAAATGAGATGCTTATTGGACCCTACTTTTTTCCACCTCGACTGACTGGTGAAATTTAATTAGATTTTCTTCGACACAATCTGCCACAATTATTAGAAAATGTTTCTCTAAATGTGAGACAGAATATGTGGTTCTTACATGATGGGCTCCACCACATTCAAAACGAGAAGCTCATGAACATCTAAATAATGAGTATCCGAATAGCGCAATGGACCCATTTCTTGGCCTGCTCGCTGCCCGGATTTAATGCATTGCGATTTTTTTCAACATTTAAAAAATCGCGTCCGACCCTGCATGTTTTAACCGTCCGTCTAGTTTTACGTTATTCCTAGATAACTTTATTGTCGTGCAAAATTTCAACAAAATCGGTTCAATAGTGCCTGAGATACGTGAGATTAAAGATTTGGCGTGTATATAAATAGATATCCGTAAATAACGAATTTAGACCTATTTTTCTTTTCAGATATGGAGGAGCTTCTGTCTATACTCCCCAGCATTTCACTATGCCCATTTAAGTACGGAACCCCGCGTATAATAGCCAAAGCCAAAAGTAAATGTCCGTTGGATTAAGTAAAATTATTTATCAAAGTTTGCCAGCCTTCTTAGCATGAACATCCTATTAACGAAGCGTTTCCAATAGAAAAATATACTTAAAAAAATATATCAAGTCGTACGATCCAAAGGCAAGGTTCCCTATTGTTTAAAATTACAAAAAGCATGTATTTCGAAGTCCTGAAATGTCGTTATAAAGCTTAAATATTGATCTATTCTTCTGCATAATTGCGACTCCAGTCGATCTTTATTCGTTCATCAAGAATCTGGCGGAGATCTAGTATGATTTGTATATTCAAAAACTGCAAAACAGAACGAATGTTTAAGCTTTAACGATGTACCAACTAATGAAAGCCAATGCTTTTTGTAGTTTTTTTAAAAAAGACAGTACCCTTGGGATTACCCACATAGTTCGTAATCTGCACGCTTGAGACGCGCAAGAAAGATTGGGAAATGGAAGGTGGCGTGGCTTAATTCCAACCAATGACGAGACAGAACGACGATAGCCGAACCGGCGTACTGCCGAACGCTGCGAACTGACGCGCTGTTTACCTTTATGTAGTATTTAGTTGCCGGTCGGCGCGACTGGACGCTGCTGCGTCTAGGCCTCCGTTGTTGTTAAGGTAATTATTATTGTGGTGAATAGGAAACCCTTTGTCGGCGATTCCCCGCAGTGTCATGATGATGGTTTGACTGAAAAGAGTGGATTGTAATTTTGTGATAATAATTGCGTACAAAAATGTGACAACATAATATATTGGATAGATATTGTGTCTTCTTCCGATCTTTCTGGGAACACTGTCTGCACAGCAAGATAAGTATGTTATGCATACCCATCTTTGAGCTCATAATGTCAAGATTGACTTCTTGAATACCAATTACCCCGCCTTAGAAGTATTTATCCATGATGAACTCTCGTTGAGATCAAACAAGACCGACTCTAGCACACTATTATGTAAAAAACTTACAAGAAAGTAAGATTAGTGCTCGTAAATACCGACTGTATTAAGTGTTCTATAATATCCTATTATCTCTCGTATAAAAAGTTGTTTATAGTTTTTTGTATGAAATAAATACCTCCATACACATTGGATATTTTGGTAATTCTCTAGCTTAGCTACACACCAGCCGTTGTCGATGGAAAAATTATTTTGAAGCCTAGTTTTTATAGTGTAGATGAAATAAATAGGACTGAAAATGAGCGCAAACATGGAAGATCAAAAATATTTTACTATATAATAGGTTTTATTGAACGTTTATTTTCATAGGTTGTGCGATGTTTCCAGATTTCATTACTTTATGGGTTTTTGTGTTGGCGGATATTTCTAATGATTAAATTTGTATGTTTGACTTCGAACTCCACAGCACTGCATAGCGTCAAATGCACTTGCGAAAATTTTCAATAATTCTGGAAATATTACCCATCATTCAAATTTGCGTTCCGTGACGTATCTTGCACCTAATTTTTACAATTTGATTCCTGCTAATATCAGGAATACTGAAAATAATAAAAACAATAATGTTTCGTTCGAAATGTTCTGTTGGGAAAATCGTGAACAGTTTATGTTTTGAGGTAGACTGATCTGCCTATTTGTTTCTTTTCTTTTTTTTGATATAACTGTGATTCGTTTTTTTTTCTGCGATCTATGAATTACAAAAACATGGGATTTTCTTTCATTTTGTCTATACTGTGTTTAATGTTTTTTGGGATTGTTGAATAATTTTTACAACAATATATATACGTATTGTACGATATTATTTAATTACCGAATTAGAATGTTTTTGCGCATGCAAGTTTTCAAACCTAGGCGCTCATATAGAGAAACCTTGCTTTTGTTTTTGTTGATATATACAGATTATTTGTTCTATTTGTAAAATTGGGATTGCTCAATAAATGTGGTAGAGTTCAGGGCGTACTGTTCTCTCCAACAACAAAAATTCTTTAATTCACTGAATGGAAAGATTTTCTTTTGACAGTATATGTAACTAAAAAAATCAAGGACTAATTCTTTAGTCTATTCGAAGGTTACTTTGGCCTTAAATTGTTTTCGAAAAACGCATTCGTTTCGAAGGTTCAGGGTGAATAAAAATGTTTGTCTTTTGGTTTGCAAAAATGCTCGTCTTAAATTTGTTTACACCACCTGCACCGTAAGGCAAATGAACTGAATGCGGCAACTTACTAATAAAGTCTGTTCTTTCTAATAGTGCATTGTTGCCGGTTTTAACTAGTATAGTTATTGAGCATCTCTAAATATACAGCGTGCCCCTCGTATACTCATGCTGTTTCTACTTGTTCCAGGGACTAGAGCGGATTGCTGATGTAAGTGCATTTAGGGTTTTCTTATTGGTGTAGGGCTCACACGGTTATACAACCAGATTGTTAGTGCGAATTGAGACATTTTCCGAGAGAGGTTGACCCTTTTGAATTGATCGGGGCATTCCACATAGCTTCGGGTAAATTTAGGCCCATGAACGACAGGATAGAATATGAAGGGCCGCCTTCACTGTTCCTTCGGTTCCTAACTACCATGGGATAGCTGGACGCAACAAGCGATGAAAGCGCGGAGGCGCTTTTTTGTCTGTAGAACCATTGCCTTTTTCGAGGTTGGAAAAAGGCTTTGGGGAACCGGATCTTGACTTGTAAGATCGATCGACTTCCTCGATTGTTTTTTTAAATTGATGAGAGAAGTCTAGTATGACTAAAAGAAATAGGCAAAAAATATTTTATCCTATAAAACTGGAAATGTATAAGTGTTCAGAGACATTAACGTTCCGCCGCGTAGACGCCGAATATTTTTTATTACGAATGGTGTTGATGTCCTTTATACATATGTACATATATGATTTTTATATGTCATAAAATTGCATAGACTACAACATAGTATTCATTTTTTTGTTATAGCTTTTTTGGTAAAAAACTTAAAATACCTGAATTATTTTAAAAAACGAGGAAGTTTTCGGTAAATGATTGTTCTGGGGGATTCTGATTGATCCATCTGGCAACGCTGGCGTTAACTGTAATATTTTTTTATTTATTACCATGTGCCTTCATAGGGTATAATGAAACGATAATATGGAGTAAAATTGTATGTAAATCAAAGTCAATACAGTTCGGACTACGTTTATTCTACTCAACACAAAAATCATACCACACATTTATACAATCAACGTGGTTATTGTATCCGATCTCATCGATTGGAAGAATGGGTAATGTTTGATACATAAAGGCACTTAATCTAGCACAATTCATTAAAACTTAAGCTTATCGGTGACATCGAGCAAAAAATGAGTTGTAGATCGGATTCTACAGCACAATACACGAACATTCAACAGATGGCTGGAATAAATACTATGAAATAGGCTAGGCAAACATTTCTTTATTCGTATTTCGAGTATTATTTTATTTCAACCAAATTATTTATTTGCCTATGCCAAAGAATGTATTGAAGTGAACCACTACGAGAGTCATCCTTAAATGATATGACAAAGGACAATGAGTAATAAATTATGAACATATGAATAAATATTCTGCTATGACGATAACAACTAGTAGTGTTCATGCATTTTGCTATGCTATATACAGTTTTTTAAGATGGGCGTTTAACACGTCATATGCGGATAGTCTTAAAAACCTTTACAGTATCCGTTACAATTAGCACAAAGAAATTGATATTTGTGCTAAAAAGAAAATATCCATGCAGGTTTTAATACAATTTTGTCACTGATTATTTTCAGTGTCTAAGTATCTGAACCTCTAAAATACAGGGCGTGGGTGTGCGAGCGGTGCTCCGGCTGGACCTTCAAATTTGCATAAATATTTAGCATTATTGTGTGAATAACTTTGGACCGACTATAACTAATAATATCCCCATTTCAGCTGAGAAGAACCACTATTGCTGATTATGTATACTCATCAGCAGATGTTCAGATCTATCTGCCCACTCATGACAATAATGTATGCATATAAACGCTCCTCTTAAATAGAAATGATACATTTATGTCCTAAATTATTTGTCTAGATGCACCTATTTGTTACATATTACACACTTCTATAGTATAAACACTTGCATTGCTCATCATCCTAAGTATTACTTTTTCTATTCACTAATTTTGTAATTAAAGCTTTACAGAAAAAAAGTATCATACAGGAATTGTAAAGTGAGAAAAAGTGAGTATTTTATAAGTTTAGTGATGTTTCATTGATAACCTTCAAAGTATTCCATGTTTAGAACATAAGAGACCCGGGCTCTGCTTCTCTCTGGCAAATACTGAAGGTCTTTGCTCATTATGGTATTCTTCAAGAGTATCCATTACGGGAGCTGATTATCTAGTGCAATGTGTACAGCGTGGCCCAACGAAGAGGTCGCACCCCCATTTGTGACTCTCCTGGTATATTTTGGGGAAAACGCTCGGCCATTTCAATTTTGATTTCTAGGGAGACATACGTCTTTTCATCCATAGCCGTACAATACAGGGTGAACCAAAAATAAGATATTGCGTTACGATTTAGATTTTTAAATGGAAACCACTATTTTTTATTTTCAGATTTTCCATGGTTTTTTTTATATAATAAAGTTTTTACCTGCCTCCAATCATTCTGAAGCTATTTGAGTTTATAATAAAGTTTGACTAACTTAATACTGATACCAGCCAGAAAATTAAGCATCAGTCGGTGTCATTGTATGCTATGTCATAGATTAACTTTGTCTTTAATTTCAAATAAAGTTACCTAGTTGTTATAAATACTGAACAATGACTTATTAAATTCAAAAAAGGGCAGAATAATGATACTGTTTTACCAAAATGGGAGCATTGCAACAGCTACTGCCTGGTTGTTTAATACGTAACATCCAGACAAAAATATTAACGATAAATATTTAGCTAAGTTGATAAGAAAATTTAAAAAAGCTGTGTCTGATATTCGCCGTAATCGCCATCGAAAAAATCGACCAGTTAGAAATAAGCCGCAGAAATAGCAGTTTTGAGACACGTACCACTTGACAACACCCAAAGCACTCGTGGACTGGCTACTTCTTCAGGATTTACTGGATCAACAGTACAAATAATTTTGAAAGACGATAAGACTTGTCCATGCGCTTAATGAAGAAGATTTTGATAAAAGGTTGGAGTTTGGCGAATTGTCCAACGTTTAATATTTTTACGATATTGTAGTCCCTTATTATCACAATTTCTAGAATTTTATTATAAACACAAATAGCTTCACAACGATTGAAGATATATATATATCTATATATATTTATATGAAAAATTAAAGCTTCCGCCTTTTGTTGGGTACTTCGACAAAATTTAAGCAAAGAGGACTCTTTATACTTTTTTAATTCTCTCTAGCTTTCAATGGACTTTGCCATCATCATCAGGAGCTGCAATTACAATGATAACAGTAGCAACAAAAGTGTAAAATGAATTTAAATTGACTCAACTTACAGTAGTATGTGAGGATGTTGCTAATTGTTGTTTACGTATAGGATGAGGGAAACGTCCAGTAACATGGTGAGAGCTGGATAGATTGTACAATGGTCAAAATTATATAAAATATGACAAGAACAAGTTAAAAACAGATTAAAAATTATTTAAAAAACATTAGAGCATTACATCGTGAAGCCACTTGATGATTGCACAAATAGTGGTCATGGAATAATAATAACTACATAACATAGTTCCTATCCCTTCGGGTAGGTTGCGGCGTTCATTCCTGTTGTTGTACCAATCATCAGGCATATCCCAGCTAGTACCAGTTATACAACTCCAATTCAGAGTTTTGCCTCCTCTATCTTCGCCTTTTCCATCCTCTTTATAGAGCTGGAAGCCAAAACAGTACGCGGCACCCATCATTGCAGTCGAGCTTGTAGCAGCTGAAACGTTTTGAACGTTTCGCTCTCTCCACCCTTCAGTATCGTTAGAATCCGAAGGTTGTGACTTTATCACCTGCGCTTCTCCACCGCTCAATGATAAGTTGCGAAATCTAACCTTTTCGATCTTATACGTCTCAAATTTGCCTAATATATCAGACAGAGATTGCATATATCGTAAGTTAAATCTCGTTCCTTTTACATATTCGTGGAACGTAGTGCTTGTGATTCCGTATCCGGCTAACCTTTGTCGAATTTCTGGTCGTCTAGCGCCTATTGGTGAAATATTCCCAATGAGGTTTGCAGTGAATCCAGTTCCGGCGGGCTTGCCTACGTGAAAGTCTGGTTGTGGTTCTTTAGCCTCGGATGCCACTGCCATCAACATGTCTCCAGAAATCCCAAGCGAAGGTACTTCTTCGAATAGGTTATGGGAGTCAGTTGTGACCTCAGCGGCGTGATAGCCTCCGAAGTTTTGAACAACCGTCGTTGGCAAAGGGGGAATCTGTAGTCTTGTTTCCTTTCCCATGCCATCGGTGTAATTACCAAACTGAGTCAGATAAGCAAATAGCGGCTGTGGAACGTTAAAATCTAAGTCCGCAACAGCTTTGCGTATTGCTTTCTCCTCTGTAGTTAAATAATTTTTAATCTGTTTTTAACTTGTTCTTGTCATATTTTATATAATTTTGACCATTGTACAATCTATCCAGCTCTCACCATGTTACTGGACGTTTCCCTCATCCTATACGTAAACAACAATTAGCAACATCCTCACATACTACTGTAAGTTGAGTCAATTTAAATTCATTTTACACTTTTGTTGCTACTGTTATCATTGTAATTGCAGCTCCTGATGATGATGGCAAAGTCCATTGAAAGCTAGAGAGAATTAAAAAAGTATAAAGAGTCCTCTTTGCTTAAATTTTGTCGAAGTACCCAACAAAAGGCGGAAGCTTTAATTTTTCACCTAACTGGTCTAGACGACAATGACCACGTCTCAAAATATATATTTATATATATATTATTATACAAGAGTTACTAAAAACTTCATGGAAAAAATTAAAAAAAAATATGGGTTTCCATTTAAAAATCTAAAGTGTTACGCAATATCTTGTGGATCACCCATGTATTATAGGGCTATACATGAAAAGACGTGTCCTCCTAGAAATCAAAATTTCCCAGCGTTTTTCCCAAAATGTACCAGGAGAGCCACAAATAGGAGTGCGACCTTTTCGTTGGGCCACCCTGTATATCCAAAACTATGTTACGAGTTTTTGCTGTATGATGTTTTGCTACCTAGGAGTATACAAAGTGATCTGTTCAGGGTAGTTCGAAATATATGCTCTCCAAATTGAGACGCCTTATATTATTTACAAACGTAATAGTGGAGACGAGGATTTAGGTATCTCCCGGGTGTGCAACTAAATGATGATTCAAGGAGGATAAAAAAATTGGCACGTTTAACAAATTTAAAAGTTCTCTAAAACTAGAGAAAAATTCTGTACCGAAATTTTGCAAACCAAGGCCAGTACCCGTTATTAGATATATCAGGAGTTGTATGTTTTCTAGATGATATTCTAGTTTCGCGTAGTAATGACTGCGAGCATTTAGAAAAGTTGGATTTGGTATTCAAAAGATTACAGGGATATGCGTAGAAAGTAAAAAAAGAAAAATGTAGATTGAAGACTGTTACTTATTTAGGTCACAAAATTTGACTTCATACCTCTGAAGTTTTTTTTGGGAATGGTAAATTTTTACTGCATATTTGTGCCAAACATATCTTTATACGATTTATTAGAAAAAGATGCTCCTTGGAACTGGACCCCTGTTTGTATGAAAACGGAGGCGAAACATGTGTTATGTTCATCTTTTCTTGCTTATTTTGATCCTGATAGAATAATAAACTGTCAGTGGATGTATCTCAGTTTGCCATAGGGGCTTGTATAAGCCATATTTATGAAAAAAAAAGTGAAAAGACCGATTGCATTTGCGTCACATTTATTGAATGATTCTGAACAAAAATATTCGCAAATAAAAAAGAAGCATTAGCTATTACATTTGGTGTTAAAAAATATTTCCAGTATTTATTTATACGGACATAAGTTTTTATTATATACTGATCACAAACCGTTATTATCCATATTTGGTGAAAAAAAGAGTATACCAATTTTTGCAGCACAAAGCGACTTCAACTTCGAAATAAGATAGCATGGCAGATTTTTTGTCTAGGAAATCTACGGTTGACGCTCATAATAATATGGACGATTCAACAACATAAAGGTTGATTTAGATATATCTTACTTAAATTACGTGAAAGAATCACTAACTATAAGGTTTCAGTAAATAAAAAATGATACTAATGCTAACGACGCAATTTTGTGAAAAATATTTTTCGTTCAAAATGGCTGGCCTGCGACGAATTTACCAGAAGAGCTTGAGCCGTTTTTTTTTTCAGGAAAAACAGAAATTAACGTGGAACAAGGGTGTCTGATGTGGGGTTATCGATTGATTATCCCGGAAAAATACCGTCCACAAAAACTCGATGAATTGCACAGTACGCATATGGGAATAGTGAAACTGAAATCTCTAGCAAGATGTTATGTTTGGTGACCAAACATTGATTGGGATATGAAGTGCTTAGCAAGAAATTGTCGCACATATGCAAAATATTCAAGCAACCCCCCCAAAATACCCTTGTTAGTTCCGGATTGGCCAAGCGAACCTTGGAAAAGACTGCATGCAGATTTTTTTGGACCCATTATGAACAAACACATTTCAGTAATTGAGGATGCTACGTCAAAGTAGACTGAATGCTTCGAAGTCACAAATGTTAGTGCTTCAGCTACCATAAAAATTTTCCGAGAACTTTTTTCAAGATTTGGACTACCATTTGAATTATGAACAGATTAATGCAAGAACCTTTACCTCAAAAGAGTTCCAAAATTTGCTGTGAAAATAATAAAAAAAAGCCTTGCTAAGGGTGATTCATAAGGATAAATGCAAGGATACTCATTTGATAATAAATAGATTTTTATTTCAGTATAGGAATACCCCTAATACCACAACGAATGAAAAACCTTCTAAAATACTTTTTGGGCGCACTACCCGTACTAAATTTGATTTGATGACACTTTCTATTATACAGGGTGTAAACGTTATGGTAGTCATTATTGAAATGGGTAATAGGGAGGGCCAAAACAAGTCAAAAAGTTCATATGACCCACGGTCCAATAGATTTTTGTCTAAATGGCTTTATAGTTTACAACTTTAAGTGCTTTATATCGACCACAATCTTACTAATTTTTATAATCTAATCTAAAACGTTTTTAAATTGGGTAATTAACAAATAAATGGCATTAAGTTTTTCTAAGTTAATCCGAAATTTGTAGTCAGTAACTAAGTTTCATTAAAATGAATATTTGAAACACACATGACAACAGCGCGTCGGTCATCATCACTCTTATCGAACCGGCAATCGATCGCAAACGGTAACAGTGGTTAGTTATCCTTTTGCATAGTTTTGCGGTTTGTTGTCAGATTTATTTTACTTTAAAGTCGCTTTTCTCTAAAAAAATGTTATATGAAACTTTTTGCTTCTTTTAACCCCCTCTAGCACCCATTTAAATAATGACTATCATAACGTTTACACCCTGTATATGTTCATATTCTATATTCACTCCTTTTTTAATGCATTTTTATAGTAATCTGATTCATACTGTTATCCTAGTGTTTTGCCATGTCTAGTGTGCACCGCGGTTCATATTATTATTAGTTTGTTAAACGTTTCGTTTCATTGTAGGTTGACAGATGCCAGATGCTAATTTTATATCGTCTTTAGCTGCACTTAGTCCAAAAACTGATCATTCTTTGTTTTAACTAACTTTCATGGTCTGTGTGTGGGACAACAGAACATGCTCTCACTAGCAAAATTACAATATGTTCAATGCACAATCCAAATATGCCATACAGAGACCTTGAGTGTTCTTTTTTTTTCAATTGCAAGCTCAATTTAAATAAAAACAAATACAATAGAAGATAAACGAAAAAGGTAACATAAAAATTGTGCGTTTCGACAAGATAAAAGTAATAGTGAACATTAGTTGTCGGGGAAGTATGCCCTTAAAAGAGAGTAAGATTTATCGACAGTCGAAACAAAAGTAACTTTCGACATTGACTCACAAATATTTCAAAAAATGTTTCCGCTTTCAAACAGTTATTTTTTACGTTTCATACTCGGCAACCCCAAATTTTCATATAAACACATCAGTTCAATTATTAGCCTGGATATACAAACACTGTTTTTTATCCACATGTTAATAAGACATTTTGTAGATATGGAAATTTATAGAATGCAAATAAATAATACAAATCGATCCGCAATTTCAAAAACTGAAGAAAATACTTTTTTACGTTCACAATCTTTAGAGAGACGAGAACAACTTAGCTAGAACGCAGTTGACTTAATACTGTATATGTCAATACTATGACTATATATGCTTCAATATCAAACAATTGTTTTTTATATATTGGGCTCGTTGAGTGTAAATGAAAATTTCAGGGTACATCGCTCCACAACGTCAAAAAAAAGAGCAAAAGGGTAATACAACAGAAAAGTGGCGTTTTTATTATGTCATTGCCAATTGGTCCCGCCATCCAAAAAATTTATCACATTAAATGAGAAATTATGAACTGGATTTTTACCCAATTATCAACTGAAAAAAATATAAAATAAAAATTCAACAACGAGCCCATTCTAAAACATATACCACCACTTCTAAACACTTTTTCTCAGACTGATACATTCATACGTCCCCTCATTGTGAAGACGCCTTATTTGCTTTGCCACAGTTATGGAGTATTAAAGAAGGAGACCTTCTTCATTTGATGTCTTCTTATCACTTTTTGTTATCAATTATTAATTTGACTCTTCATGTGGAATGTGTTTTATTTTACCAAGTATGAATTACGAAGGCAAACAAATTCCTCTACCTATTATACAAGCTGACATGTGTGATACTCTCAATTGCAATAAACTTCTTTATACTGACGATTTGAAAATTTTACTATCTACGAGGGTTGTCTCAAAAATATGGCTCCCAACGCTGTATCTTGGCCGCGCATGACGCTAGGCGAAATCTGGCAACACCTTCGGGTTTTTCGGCTCACCCACTACCGATCCCAACAAGAAGCGCCTATTTGCTATGCTCAGCACCGGCCCGACAGCCATGCGCAATGAAGCCCGTCACCGCCAGATACGAAATTCGTGCGGTCATCCGATTTTTGCACGCAAAGACTTTACCACCCATAGAAATCCATCTTCACTTGAGGCAAGTATATGAGGAAACGTGTATTAGCATTCAACATGCCCTCAAACGTGAACAGAGTGCTCTGTCGGCCGCACAGACATCCGCAAACAACGAAGCAGGAGGCCGTCGATCTCCGAGGAAGTTATGCTCGAAGATCGGCGCATCATAGCATTTTCGAAATTAAAGGAGCACTAAGGAGGTCAACAAGTCAAGACGGACGATAACTTGCAAGGAGCAGTTACCAAGTTTCCAAACGGGAGCAGTTAGCATGTTTCTAAACGGGTTGGTGGGAGACTTCCTTGAGGCGGGAGTGTAAAAGCGGATTTCACGTCTAAAAAAATGCCTAGAAAAAATGGTGCTCACTTTTATCTAGTTTTAATTTCGTTGTGCCTTGTTCGAGAACTAGAAATACCAAAACCTTTCATTGTGAGAGAGTTAGATATAATTTGCTACAAAAGTCTAGCATTAACTATGTATGAAAATTTCACTTCAATTTCTGCAGTTTATAATATAAATTGTGGTGGTTTGTACCTGGTCAGAAAAATCACATAAATGCGCTATTCTTTTCTTAATGTCTGGCGTTTAACTTTCATTATATTTTTATTGTAAATTCTGCTTAATATTTTTATCTAGAGGTTAAACGGATTTATGCTTGACATAATGTCAAAAATCTTATATAATTTTTTTCCTGTAATATGTTGTACTTTCATCTAATTCAATTATTGTTTATATTTTACATCATTTTTTTTATTTTTCATTTAATTTGATTTTGTATCATTTTCCTCTAATTGGGAGACTGTTGGGCAACAAATATTACTATAATTAAGCCCCAATTTGAGTAGGCCCCTAAGTTGCTCGAATAAAGTTGTGTATGAGAAAGCATTGAAACTAACGACAAAGCAAGGCAAAAATAGGTCTAGAGGTCTGAGATCAAACAAGGCCTCCATTTTTTTTAAGAAGATATTTAACAACTCTTCTGTCACTCGCATGTGTCAAGGCTGTCTATACAAATAAGGCGTCCTAACGATGAGGATGCCTCAATTGAAGCCGTTGCATTTGGCACTAAAGTGTTGGCATATGAAAATAATGGACAAATACCTCTTGATTACTTTAATATATTAGAGGCAAATATTCCAAATATGGAAAACTCCATCATACTGGCCATATATCTGTATGATGTAGCCTCTGTTACAAATTAAAAAAAAAAAAAATACCAGTTATATCCAACGTGGACATTGTTAGCGATGATATGTTTACATTAAACAAATACTGTACATTATCTTTTTCTTGCTTTCTTTTTAGATCCATTTAAATACTCCTTATACATATCGCTGCGTAGATATCTTGAGTAACTATCATTTTTCATCAGCTGATACACGTGATTCTGAAAAAAGAAATTGTAGTACAGACTTTGAAACTTGTTTTCCATATTTTTTGAGTATTTAATTTCGCTAAGCATGGTGTTTTTTGTCACTCCTGAACAACTTTTGAGAATCACGAGGGCACTCGTTCTAAAAAAGAAACATAAAAATTTTATAAAGTGGCGAAACCCTTTCTGCTCGATATACTTGACCCAGCGATGCTCCAACTTTTTTAACCCGTCTGAAAAATACGTTTTCAGGAGGTCTGCAAAGTAGGCTTCCGTGGCCGCGATAATCTCCTCATTCGACTCAAATTTCTGCCCGGCGAGTCACTTTCGAAACAAAAAAGCCGCACAGGGCCAAATCTGGAGAATAAAGTGGATGGGGCAGCAGTTCGTAGCCTGATTGGACCAATTTGGCCATGGCGATGGCGAAGTTGTGAGCCGGTGCGTTGTCATGGTGGAAGAGCACTTTTTTCTTGGGGTGATTTTTTCTGCAATTTGACATCGAATTGACCCAATAATTCGGCATAGTAGAGCCCCGTGACCGTTTAGCCCTTCTCCAGTTGGTCGGTGTGTAGATCACACCTTGTGAATCCCGAAAAACGGTCGATAGTCTTCGCCTTATTCGGTGCGCGTTGCGGATTGCGCTTAAACAGCGTCAAACACCGCTTTGAAGTGACACGCGACACCCATCGCGCAGACATCTTTCTCATTTCCAATATTTAATGCAGGATATGACTCAAGTAGTCTTTTGAGATGCCTACTGTCTCGGCTATCTCGCGTACCTGCAATCGGAGGTCTGCCGATACTAGATTTTGGATTTTTGTCACATTATCCTCGTGGTAGCCGGTTTCCTGGCACTTGGGCGTGGCTCATCAAAATCGACGTGCGACCACGTTGAAACTCGTTTAACCAATTTTTGACGGTTGTCATCGAAGGAGAAGAGTCACCATACACAGAACCAACCGCTTCCACACGCGGTCGAAACAAAACTACAAGTCCGATTTGGCTAAAATTTTGACAGTAGCCGTCTACGTGAATGTACTTCAAACGAATCTACCAACATCTCAAATAATAATAATAAATGCCTTTATTTTAAAACAGCTCACAAAAAATATCAAAAAGGGAAACAGTATTAACGAGAGAAAAAATGAAGACTGTCTGAAAACCACAAGGGGAAGTTCACTATCTAATGCTCTTCCACTCATCCCTTGGAATTATTAGAAACATTATGCCAGTAAATACATCCATCAAGCATATAAAGGCATCAATATGAACGACAATTAAGTTTAAAAAAAAGAGAAAAGAGAAAAACGTGGTGGTAAATTTAAAAGTCTAGAATAATATATGTATACATATATGTACATTATGCATCATATGAAAAAAATAGAAACAAAATAATGGAATGCAAACAAAATAAAATTGGAAGTCCGAAGCAGCAGTAAGAATAATAATTCTACTTTATACATTCAAGGTCAGAATCACGGAAAACCGCTTTGAACTTATGAATTTCATATGATTTGAGGTACTGGGAGATAGGATTGTATAGCATATATATATAGATATATATATATATATATATATATATTACGTAAATGATCTTTCAAAAAATTTTGTTCTGTGGAATGGAGCGGTAATGACTTGTTTCGAACGAATATTTACGGAATGGATGTCTTTTCTGAATGTTATTTTTACTGCCTGAGAGTTGAAATTTTGTGATAAAAGCAAATTCTGAATCCATCAAGTAATTTGGGCTGTAGGTTGTAGCCCGTAAAATGGAAGTTTAAAATTTGTTTATCATCTCGTTATTTCATTTATGGTTAAGTTTTATACTTCTGCTTGTAACAATCACTTCTATCTGAAATACCCTTTCAAAAAGTAATTTTCCGGTTACGGGAATTTAACTCGCGTGAAAAGCATAACCCCACTTCTGGAGCAGTCGGGTAGAGAACTTACTGCTGCACAGTCAAACCCCCATCTGTCAGGTACTTCCATATTCTTTTTCGTCAATTCACTTGAATATGAATCCACGTTTATAGGGCAACTAGCATCTGGGGATAAAAATTCAGCCCATATTTCTGAAGCTTTATTTTGTACTTGGCTCTGGGGCAGGGCTTTAAGCTCTTGAACAGCTTCCCAAAATCTGCAATAAATCCAAAGTTTATTCAGTCACATGAAAAAATCAAGCCACAGAACAAAACTTCTATTCATAATTTTAATGAAAAAATTGTAACTTCATTTACCTCAAGTTTTCTCCACTGAATTCTTTATCAAGGAACTGGGTAAAGTGTTCCTTTCCAGCAGGATCTTTGAGTAATTCTATTAAACTGAATCCCCATCGTTTGACGCGTCGAGCTGATATCACACTCTTTTCTTGATCCCAGTACTCGGTAGTATCGGATATCCACGGATTTGAATATTCCGGTTGTACAAAAAAGCTATCATAGTCTAAATATTGTTCGTAATATGTGACAAATCTGAAAATAATAGAATCGATGGTCACTTAACAATCCCAGGTCTTAAGCCCGATTTTACTGTTGAGCCCTCATTTTGCACAAATAGGACCAATGAGAAAACGTCTCGTAAAATGTCTCTCAAACTACAGAAAAATTATACGATTTGTATAAGAGAGGCTCCTAATTCTCTTATTAAATCGAGAAATACTTCACATATCACATTATTCAGCTGCGAAAACTGATTTTTTTTAGTCGAAAATTCAAGGAATCAAAATAAGGATTTGTGGCGCAATTAGTGGGCACTTTATTGAAAATAACAGTGACTCACTGATGTTATTCTTTGGAGATATAAAAAAATACAGAATGCTTATTCTTTAACAAACAGAAACTTTGTAATTATCACCCAAACATTTTCTAAAAAGTTCTAAAAAAAGCGATTGTTAAATTTTATTGCAAAATAAATCTCATCTCTGAACAGCAGTATGTACTTCTGGAAGCAGACTCAACTCAGAATGCATTTATTCAGTTAACAACCAAAATTTACAAGTAGATTGACAGTAATAAGCCAACAGCATACATTTTTGTAGACATTGCACATGAAAAATTATTAAAAACAGCCACTTACTCATGTAAAGTTATTTGAAGGATAGAAAACAACGTGTGAACATTAACAGTGAAAATATGGCAGTTAGATGCGGAGTTCAACAAGGAACCGTGCTGGTTCCAATCCGGTTTAATTCGTGTGTTAATGACCTTTCAAAGTTGAATAATGCTGGAGCCATTATTTATTCAGACAAAGATTTGGCTTCTTTAGAACAAAATTGTATTGCATTTTCAAAAGGTTATGTAATTTTTCACGAAAAGAATTTTAACAGTCAACTTCAACAAAACATACAATCAGTCAAATATTTAGGGGTATTCATACATAACCATCAGATTGAATATAGACGTTGAACATTTAATAAAAAATTGAGATACCTCATTCCAAAAATCAAATATTTCAGCAGTTTTTTGAGCGAAGAATATCTACAGATATGTCATTATTATCTTCTTGGGATGGAGTCATGAATAATTATTGAAAAAAATTTAAATTATGCAGAAGTGTTTTTTGAAGGTTATGTTAAACTAGAAGAAATAGTATCCTACAGAAAATCTTTACAATTTATCTCAGCTTTTCGACCACCGGTAAATATATTTTTATCGTTCAACAATTCTATTGACCACAATCATCAAACGGGATTCAAATAAACATTTGCATGTATCCCCAGACTAAATAAAACTATCAACCAAAGATTTTGTTATTCCTGCAAATTTTAAACATATAAAATGTAAAAAACGTTTCAAAACTAATTGAAGTTATGGACCTTAAACCAGCCGAGACATAAACTCGTAGAAATCAAAAATCAATATGCAGCTTATATGAAATTTAGGAAATTTGTTGTATAATTCAGTTTTAACCTAAGCATAAGTGTATATATTATGTTTATTATGGTTAACAGGGAGGTGTTATGCACTCTATTGGCCAACAACGAACATCCAATAATTTTAAATACTTACGAGTCCGCTGCCTTTGAAACCTTGATGTTCCTGCGATCTAGTCTAGCCTTAAGATTATCTATTTGCTTCTTCAAGTGCTTTATCGTTGGATGTGATGCTAAATCAGAAGTGGATGGCGACAATTTGTTTAAAAATCCTAATTTTGAACTTTGTGTGGTTTTATTCATTTGACAAGCTTTTTTTATATCTATCTCTGTGGTATTTACACACCCAGGCTGCAACAGAAACAAATTACAAATTATTGTATTACCCGAGTCCCATCATTATTGGAGAACCATTTATTTCCCTAACCAAAGGTCTTACCATGGGTCTATGTACATCCCAAAAAGCTCGTTCTTGGCTGTCTAAAACTTTTCTTTCGAGCTTATCCCGCTTTTTATCTACTTTGCTTTGTGCTTCCGCTTGCATAAAAATAAATTCCCACTTTCTAGAAAACATCTTTTGTAGCCGTGCTAAGTTTTCAGCTTCATAGTCAGCTAGCTCCAGTCTTGTTTTATTTTGCATCGTTCTTTTGCATAAATATACAGCTGAAAAAAGTTACATTATATGAAAATATTACAAAAATATTGTTATTATAAATTATATGGGTGCTATACGCAATAATGCTCACCATAATCAGTGTTCTCAGGTTCCCAGCAGTTAGAGGGCCAGAAGTATGGAGTTTGAAAACGGTAAAATGTGTTGTCATTTTTTACAGTGAGCATATGATCATCAATAGGAAAAAAATATCCATGTGCAGCCATCAAATGTGCTAAATGTAGTGCTTCTTGTTGATCTTCTACATCCAAATTCTTTACCATCCACATTATCAAATCTGTACCAGTGAAAACTGATGGTATTTTTGACATGAAACTCTTTACTGTTCTCACTGGCACTCCTGTAACCTCATCTTGCATCCTCTCTATTATCTTTTCCATCTGCGAAATTTCAAAATTTGAAAAGCCAGAAAAATATTCTCTACTCAATGGAAAATTGATGTCCAAGGCAAATTTAACATAAATGGTATCACTTTACTGAATCAGTATACATACAATACACTTTGATATTGATAGGCCCCCACTCATAATAAATAAATGTAGAATTGACTATTAGATAGATAGATATTTATTGATCACATTTTAGTAAAGTAATACATGTGACAAGTCGAAGAAGGAAAAATTGATACATAAGATATATAAAAAATTACAATAAAAATTTAGATAAGATAAAAACTGTTGTACAGTATAAAAGCACGTTTGGTATAGAAATGTCTTCACTTTGTGCTTAAACTCATTATAATTTGTGACCTATAGACATTTTGGTAAATTATCATTTAATACTGCTATGAACACATGACACTTGTCAAAATACATCGTAGAACCAAAAAATTTAAACAAAGGGAAGCACCTATGAGAGTCTTTACCAAAGCAATGTTGCCACAAATTTTCATTTGCCTTCCATGCTATGACAATCATTTTAAGCTACTTGTTACTTGGGTTTTAGCATCTACTAAATTAAAGCCTAAACCAGGACCTCAACCAAGACCACAAAGTCTGAATCACAGCTTAAAACCAAAGCCCAAAGCATTTTGGTTTTAATTTGGGTTGTCGGTAGGATTTTGTTATATTTTTGGAAATTTTACTCAAAGGATCGCCCAGTCATTTTTCACACCACAATAGATTCGTCATGGATGCGGAGCAGTGAAGCCGATTTTTGAGAACCTTATTCACAGAAATACGGAAAACATCCTAATTTTCCACGATTTTACAAAATATAGTATAGTTCAAGCTAAACAATACAATATATATAATGTTATTATCTAAAACTAACACTATTTTCTACATAAATTCTCAATTGTCTTTTGAATTTGACAAAATATATCAGATACATCCAGATTTTTTACAGAAAATGAGTAGAAACCAAACATAAAGCTAAAAAATTAATTCTTTGTAATCTACATTGTTTTATGCTTCCTATCAATCATATATAATTTAGGCAACTAAGTACCCCAGGGATGTAAATTTGGATTTCCTATGATCATTTTAAGCCCATCCCTTACTCTGCTTCAGTCACATTGATCTGAATTCTGTCTTGGTTTTTGTATGTATAGCAGGTAGAGGCTGATATACCACTATCATCATCGCTACATAAGTTATAAGGAAACCAAAGTTAATGATTATTTTTTTTAAGAAGACTGATTTAAGTTTATTCTTATATTTGCAGAAAATCTGTGTTCTTTGTCAATGTTTAAAGAAAACGTGTGTGCAATACAAAAATATACGTTTTCAATTAATGCTAATAGAATCTCCATAGTCATCTAACCTTATCAGTTCTGATGAAATAGCAAACAATTTAGTAAAAATAATAACAGAAAAGTTAGATTATTGTGCACCAATAGTTAAAAGAAAGATACCTGTCAAATGGGACAACAAAAGATGGTGGTCATCAGATTCACATGACAATATTTTAGAAAGGGATAGGCTATACAAGAGGGCTATGATAACACAGCAGGAAGAAGATTGGATGAGCTTTCGACAACAAAGAAATAAAGTTGTTCAATTAATAAGACAACAAAAGCAAGTATATTACCAACAAAAAATAGATGATGCCAAAGGAGATTCAAAGGCTATCTGGAAAAGTTTGAAGGATATCATAGGCAATGGATTGAGAAGTAGAAATATGGAAGGTATTGATTTCGATGGAACTATTTACAAAGAAAGTGAGACAATGGTAGAGAGTTATAATGATTTTTTTCTGAACAGCGTGAATAATTTCGCAATCGATATAGATGACATACATATGGAAAATACTTTGAATTATATACCAACTCCTACAAAGAGCTTTAATACATTTAAAAAAGTTCAAATGAAGGAACTAAGAAATACAGTTAACAATTTGAAAAATAAAAATAGCAGTGTTGATGGAATTAATACCAAAATCTTGAAATTGGCTTTTGAAGCCTTAGGCAACTGCTTTCTCCAGCTTATAAATTCCAGTATGGAAACAGGATGTTTTCCCAGGATTGGAAAATATCAACAGTCATCCCTATAGAAAAAGTGAGTGGAACAATAAAATGTGAAGAGCATAGACCAATTAATACTGTATCTGTATATGAAAAACTTCTAGAAACTGTTGTCAATCAACAATTACGTCAATACGTAGAAAAAAATAGATTACTTACAAAATACCAAGCTGGTTTATTTACAAGACAAAATCTATGTACCTTTTTATATAAAAGATGGTTGGGTGACTCCTCAGGCACACTCGATGGATGTGTTGAGGATGGTTCCTCTTTTTGGGATATCTTAGAGACACCTCCGTTCCCATCTTTGCTACATTTGCCAGATTTGTCCGTGTTCATCGTAACCATATTACTATGCCTGGAGGGAGAACTCCCCCTTTCTAATTTGATAAAGACAGAACATTAACGAAGTTTGTAGGTTCTGCATTTATATCTATTTCTAAAAATATGTCTAGAATAAAATAAAGGCATATTAGTTATATATTGAGACTTTGAGGTACTATTCGCTTTATAAGAGAATCAGCACTCAGAGGATACGAAATTGGAGTAGCTGAGAAATGTTTTATTTTGTAAACAAAACACTTACCTTAGGATTCAATTAGGTCTCTATTTACCTGTTATCAAGGAAATTCATTATGTGTAGTATAGTATTGGTGCTAGCTTCACTGAAAATCGCAGAAAAGCTGTCCAAACTATCAAATTTCAGTCATGACTTCATATTTTAATGAGTATTTGCTTTTTTAGTTTTTTTACACATCAAGTAGAGCACCACAAAACATATCAGAGCACATAAAACGAGAAAAAGACCCACAGGCATCAAACATCAGCAAAAATCGATGGAAAATGACATACTTCACCTGTCACTTTGCAGCCAGCGGCATTGCCAAATCAAACCTGGCTTACATATCTTTCTTCTCACGTTTCTGCAGTCCTGGTAGCAAACCTTTGCGCATAGCGTTTGATGGTTGGTTTGGCCCACGTCCCACGTGCGAGTTTAAAAATTTATATCAGAATGTGCGGCGTTCGCGTCAAGAGCATAAACAACGCACGGTACGGTATCTTTTTTAATCCACTTTAGTTGCGATTGATTGCTTAACGTTTAACGGTTGGTCTTATTATATCTCTAAATAGAAGATTACTGCTAACAACAAAGAATCCGTGTGCAATTATGTTTTTTAATCTATTTTACGATGTTTTCATTTTTCTATGATCCATATTATCTTAGAGTTCCGTAATTATATAGCAGCAGGCAACGCTGTTCAATAGATGTCAACACAAGTATTACCTGTGGCCCTCTACAGACTAGATGCGGCCATGGCAATAAGCAAGTTAGTTACCTGCATTATCTACTTATTTGACATTAGCGAATTTGGATTTCTGTTCTCGGTACGGAACGAGGCGATAACTCGATACAAAATCTATATAAAGCCTTTGGAACTTGGGAAGGTGATAGAACCATTTAGAATCTTTTAAGCCAAAAATACCTTAGTTCAAAGTCTTACGGTTTTCGATTTTTATTGAAAAAAATATGCCTTTTGTTCCTGTTATCGCTGAAAGAACATCAGGCGATATGAAATAATTTTTAAATTCTCGACAATGTGGTTTTTTTCTCCGCAGGTAGAGAAAAGAAAAACAATTTGACTGAAATCAAATAAATACATGTTTTCCTATTTTTGTGATACTGATAAGAAGGAACGTGTTTGCACGCATGATAGAACTAAATTCCACACATTCTTGCTTTATTCCTTTCCAAACAAGTCAATAGTAATTCATGAATTTCAGTCCAAAAACACTGAATTAGTTAGTGTGAGAAATATGGCCGCTTTCACCAACGAAGAATACGCAGATATCGTTTACATATCAGCTGTCATTGTACTGTGATGAATACTCGTGAAATATGATATATACCTATTCATACTCAACCGTGACGTGACAGTCCTGTGACCGGCACGTGATCCGCCCGGCGAAACTAAGAGCATTCTTCCTGGGATTTGGATGAACTGATTCACACTAGACACGTGAAGTGGCCGTGTTCTGTGCCATCGTCGACGCCGTAGCGTGACCATCGCATTGTTTTTGGAACGATATTTTTCGATTTTCACGGCCGTGTTTTTATGTGATTTCGTGAATATTTTGATATAATTGGTCAAAAACATGAATGATGAAAAACTAATTGAATTTTTGCGCGCACATCCCATGCTGTAGAACCAGTCAAATTCAAAATACATGGACTTCCGTTTTCTTATCGTTTCTTCTTCATCTTTCATAGGTGGTAGAAGGGTCTCTGACTGTTGAACGCGGAGGTACCACCCGGCGGGTGTCGTAGGCGGGACCAGAATGAGTGCATGTTGCCTGCACACGTGTTCCCTCGCCAGAGTTCGTGTGGCGTCCCCCCTTTCCCCTGAATTTACCCCTATAGCACCACGGTACCCCATGGGTGTTTAGGCTTTAGGCCTTCCTGGTAGTTGGAGTATAAAAAAACAGAATTAATGCAATAATTGCAAGTTCATCCTCTGAAAATTTTGCCATCTCGACCTCACGTGAACACAACTGCACTGTCAGAGTACGGAGAAAAATACTGACCGGTGTGAATTGAAAACACTGTGAGCTCACGTCAGCGAGAATCACTGGCACGTCACGGTTGAGTGTGAATAGACCTTAATAGTCATGACAGGTTGCTTATTTTTTGATTTTGATGTGAAGACAACCCCAAAATTTTTAAGCTTTGTTCAATTTTTTCATAGAAAGGTTTCGGTAATATTTGTGTCCAAACCCGGACAAGATCATAATAGGTTTGGAATCATAGAACCACAGAACGAAGAGTGACCACAAAACAGCAACCTACAATAAAATGTTACCTTCCCAGATTGCATATGCATATGACAAAAATCTGGACCGTTCCATCATACTCATTTGCGTGTAAATGAGGGCAGTGAAAACAATACAATCTTAAATTTCCTAATTGTATATTTGAACTCAAAAAAATATTCACCTTGTTACAAATAAGAATGTCATAAGGGATACAGTTTCATATTCACACTCAAATTTGTTACACAAAACATATCCTAGTACAGGGTTGGAAAAAAACATGTATTTTTTTATTTTATACAAAACACATGCTTTTTTTGTTTTTAAATATTATGTTTTGAACAAATAAAGCTTAGAAAAAAACATTGTTTAAATCATATTTTTTCATAATATTAATTGAAAATGTTCGACCTTGTATTCTACTAAATAATAGATACCTTATTTAAAGTCCGATTCCGTACTAAACTGTCGCGATCAGCTGTTACGAATTACGTCGCGGCCCGCCGCCGAGAGGCTGTGCCGGTGAATCCCCGAAATAACAAAAACCAATTGCAATGAGGAACTATTATCCTGGGGGAACCACAGACTACTATTTATAAATTCGCCTTGCAAGTTGGCTATTGCAATAACGTCTACTGTAAGTTATTTTGTGATGTTCTTTTTTTAAAAAATTTTGTCTACAGGAAGGAGGAAAGATGCCATTTGGTCCTATTTTGATGCTAAAGATAATAACAAAAAGTCAGTGACTGCTAAATGTAAAAAAGTACAGTAATTATGGCTGGACTAGTGCTGCATGTGAAGAAACATATCCAAAAATGTGTTCCATCTGAAAATTGTCAGCTACCAATGTCAATTATCTATGATTATGAGTCAGATGAGGATTTAACGCTAGATGAGATATCCAACATTCAAAAATATTCAAAGAATGTTTACCCAGATAATAATACAAGTAACTTTGAATTTTAAATTTTTACCAATTTGAAGACAAATGCCCAAGACTATTTAAAAAAATTAAAGTATATCGCATTTGCTCTGGACAAAGGCCAAAGAAACACTTGCACTATAGGAGAGGCTACAGAGATATGGCTAGAATTTTTAGAAGCATTCGAGACTGAACAAGCAAATGGAGAATTTTCGGTAAGTGATACGAATAAAGTCGAGGAGCGTATGAATATGGCTTTGACCCCAGCTCATTTCTTGGCAAATTTGCTTGATCATCACCTTAGATGCAATAAACTTAGTCAAGAGCAAATAGAAACTGGCATGGAATATGTAGAAACCTATCATCCAGAAGCATTGCCAATTATTATTAGTTACCAGGCATGAACCATATATGTTTTCTAAACATCTAATTGAGAATGTAAAATCATTCGCATGGTGGCGTTCTATGAAAAATCTAAATACCACAGCATTGGAACTTGCTCAACAGCTTCATACACCTATTGCATCGTCAGCCAACATAGAAAGACTCTTCTCATCATACGGTTTAGTCTATTCAAAACCACGTAATCGGCTAAGCAATTTCAAAGCTGCTAAGTTGGTATCAATTTTTAAAGAGCTTAATTCCATCAATGATCACGTGACTGATCAGATATCTGATTGATGACTTAGATGACTATGCGACGAAGAGTGTGGGGTATTTGTTAACCCTTGTATGCAAAATTGTTGTGTTCCTATTATTAATAAATAAATAATATTTACGTTAAAAAGTTTGTATAATGTATATGAGAACATCTCCTATTTTTATTTATTATATTAATAAAGAAGAAAAAAGGCGCTTTTTTAACTGTTTTAAACCTAAGCGAATATTTAAAACATGTTTAAAACAATTGATTAAAACAAAATGTTTAAAACGAAACAACCCTGTCCTAGTATGAAAAATCTGGAATAGTAAACATCAAAATATAAAAAAAAATCCCAATGGAATTTGTACAACGTAAGATTTTTAACCATGCGTCTGGTCATCTTCAACAAAGTCCCTTGCCACTTCTCTACTCACACATTCCACATGACTGACCTAAAACAATATTTCCATTAGAAAATGCTAGGTATTCCAATAAAAATGAGAAATTGAGACAATGGATCACTGTCCATGAAAAATCTATACATGATGGATACAAAGAGTAGTTATATCACACTTGCTGGAATGCCTTTACCAGTCGGCCCCACTGACCTTGGGAGTCTAATCATATTAGGAAATTTTCCCGAAATAACTGTAAAGTCTGGTTTTATTGGTGCAAGGAAGTATTTAAAACATGGACGCATAAAATGGGTACACTAATTTTTGTGGAAAACTTTTTATTCAACAACAAAGAATGAGAGAACGTGTTTTTTGGGATTGAATCGAAAGTGTTAACAGGAACGAATACACTTTTATAATAAGGTTTTTAGGTATTTATTAGACCTACAAAATGAGACCACACGTAAAAAGATCCGACTAATAGCAAAAATGTTATGGCCGAAAAACGAGGCAAATTGCAGGTATTGGGCACTTGTTGGTAATGCGACGATAATTTCACTATATGAAATTCTTCAAATCCGTAGGATTTATGCTTATAAATAACATCAACAAAACTGGAGCATGTTTGTCCAGTAGTTTTTGAGAATTTCTAATTGTTTATCCAAAGACACCTGTTTTCCGGCCATCACTACTAGTTTATGGTGCAATATACGGGGTTCGTTCAAAGAGCATTTAATAGCAAAATACACGTGTTTAGCTGGCCGATATGAATCACATCATGTTATTTTTATGCGAAACACAAAGGTTACGTTTTTTCTTCTAAACAAATTCAAACATTTCGAATATGTGAGTAATTGAACAAATGCGCTACGATATTCGAAAAACATACGTTACTATAAAATTTTAGAACAAAGCGGATGTGTCTATCATCTTGTGTTGCAAATTACAAATACGAATGTTTGAATTTGTTTAAAAGAAAAAACATAACCCATCCTTTTTTGCATAAAAATAACATTTATCTTGCGGAATGGTTTGCGATTCATATCGGCAAGGTAAACTAGTGTATTTTGATATAAAATAACCCTGTATATTACTCAATAAACTAGTAGTGATGGTCGGAAAACAGGTGTTTTGGAATAAATAATTAGAAATTCTCAAAAACTACTTGACCAATCTACTGCAATTTTGTTGTGGTTATTTAGACGTATGAATCCTACGATTTTGAAGAATTTCAAGTACCTGCGAGGAATCGTCGCATTACCAACAAGTGCCAAAACCTGCAGTTTGCCTCGGTTTTCGGTCATAACTTTTTTGCTATTATTCGGATCTTTTTACGTGTGGACTCATTTTGAGGGTCTCATAAATACCTAAAAATCTTATATACAGATTTTTTTCGTTCCTGCCCATTACTTACTTTCCATTAAATCCCAAAAAAACCCTTTTTCTCGTTCTTTGTGGTCGAATAAAAAGTTTTCCCACAAAAATTGGTGTACCCATTTTATGCGTCCATGTTTTAAATACCCCCTTGAACAACTTGCAGCAATAAAACCATGATAAGATTATATCTACATTAAAGTAGGGAAGCCGATCGTAAATATTTTGTTGCATCATCGCAGACTGAAATGGTACGATAAAAAATAGTCACTTCTTACGTATTTTCATGCTAAGCTGCAAACTTGCCGATATTTATAAAATGAAGCAATTAGTACTTACCTTATTTCTGAACTTGACTCCATAAAATTTGTTGGCATGTTCCAAAAGTTCTGGTCTAAAAGTAGTAGTGATGAACTGGGCTTCAGTCGATAATTCGTGGATCATATTCGCCACCGCTCGTCTAGAAAAAAAAAACATTGAAAACTTCAGATCAAACTTCCACATTCCTTGTATTCCTTTTCTAGTTAATTTTCAATTTACCTATACTGAGGATCCAAGGCCTGGTCAATTTCGTCAAATAGGTAAAATGGGGCAGGATCACACTTTTGGATAGCGAAAATCAACGCTAAGGCAACCAAAGACTTTTGACCTCCAGATAACTGATTCATTTCTTTCATTTCTGCATCTGACCCTGTGAAGGATATCTTGATACCAATACCTGAAAATAGAACGATGGTAAACAAAAAATAGGCTGGTATTAGCTGTTGAATTATGAAAACGAATTAACTAATCCGCGGTCCCAAAAACAAAGAACATTTTTCTTTACCTGTGAAGTTATCAGCGTTTTTATCATCAGGTCCAATTTCATGCCCTTCAGAATGATCGACAGTTTTCAACACAAGTTTAGCACGACCATCTGGCACCAATTTCTTGAATACTTCAGTAAAGTACTTGGAAAACTGCTTGAAGGTAAACTGAATCGCTTCCATCTTCTTCTGTTCCAAAGTGGCGATTAATTCTTTAATCTTTTCATCACTGAAAAAAAGATTGTATATACACGAGAAGCGTGAAGATATACACTGAGTACCAAATTTGTTCGACGGCTCGAATTCAATGTGAACGAGAGAGAAGTGTGTATAGACAGATATGTTAGATAGAGATAGAAGCCGGTTGAATAGCGAAGCTCATCACAGCGTTGCCGAGCAACGCTGTCAAGGTAATCTACCGAGTTGCCAATATGTTACACCAATCCCTTGAATTAAGATGCGTGTTGAAAATACGCATTAGTTTATTATCTACGCCCAAATAATGATTATATTTTGAGCGTACATATTTTTGAATTATAAATTGCGTCGAATCTGTTTGGGATCGGTCCTAACGCTGCTCCATTTTAGGTCGAAATGAAAAGTCAGGATCGCCACAAATTCTGCAACACTGCATCATTGGTTCGCTTGGCAACACAACATATCATACATGCCAAGGCAAGGTTTCCACCTCCATGATCATAGATGAGCGATTTTGGTGAGTACCCACCTAGCGCTCATTGGGGAAACCGCTCGCTGTCATAAAATGTCAGATGTCGTCAGATAAATTTGGTTTTCCCTGTAGACAAGTGGCACTAGCTGGTTACTGAACAGTCATCATTTACGGTCTATCTATGGGATGCCGTTGCTACAAGGGTTGTCTCAAGAATATGGTTCCCAACGCAGTATCTTTGCCGCGCCTGATGCTAGGCGAAATCTGGCAACACCGTCGTGTTTGTCGGCTCCCCCACCACCGATCCCAACAACAAGCGCCTATTTGCGATCAGGTACCGGCTCGACAGCCACGCGCAATAGATCGCCGTCACCGCCAGGTGCAAAACTCGTGCAGTTATTAGATTTTTGTACGCAAATACGTTACCACCCATAGAAATTCATCGCTACGCGAGTGAAGTATACGGGGTTAGCATTCAACATGACTGACAACCGCACGGCCACCCACGATGAACAACGAAGCGGGAGACCGTCAATCTCCGAGGAAGTTATGGCGAAGATTGAGTAACAAGTTGAGACGGGCAATCAAAAATCATCGTAGGGGAAAACTCACCCAAGAGTAATGCAACACAATGAGCCTGAAAAAAATGTGTGAACTTTATTTTTGAAACAACCCTCGTGAATTCATGATACGATTCTAGTATGTCATGGTATAAATGGAATAAATGGGTCTAGCAATTTTCAGCAATAGATACAATCGCAGCTTGATTTCGATCTCATAACAGATAAATTCAATAATTCTTGGTAGAATGAATTGAGAACTCAACTCGCAACAATACTGTTTATGAAAGGCAAAAATAGTGTTAAAGGGTAAAGGTCTTGAGAGTCGGTAAAGCCATTGATACTTACCCTCGATCTAATTCCTCTTTTCTTTTTTGTAGTTTTTCCTTTTGGTCAGAAAATTGCATAAATTGATCCAGAGCTTTCTTGTTGACGTGACTGAACTTCTTCAGGTGGTTATTGGCTTTTTCTAGCTCCTTGAAAAGCTAGAATTAAATAAAATCTTCAATATATCTCAAAGACAAAACAGTTCAGATCAGCATCCTAAATTACCCCACTGTATCGAGCCTCGTTTGCTTGAGGGCAACTCTCATTAGCAGGCTAGGAAATTTCGAAAATAGAAAATATTCAATTTGAAAGCGCAATCCGCGGGAGTTTCCGCGTCGTTTTGTGACTTTCGATGAAACATGGATCCACTGGTACACACCAGAGACCATGGAACAGTCGAAACAGTGGACTTCACCCGGCGAAAGTGTTCTGAAGAAGACGAAGACTGTCCTATCAGCCGGAAAGGTAATGGCCACCGATTTCTGGGATTCACAAGGTGTGATCTACATCGACTACCTGGAGAAGGGCAGAACTGTCACAAGGCTATACTATGTCGAATTATGGGGCGGATTCGACGCCGAATTTGGCCTCGTGCGACTTTTTTGTTTCCAATCTTGTAAAGGCCACTCACCGGACAGAAATTTGAGTCGAATGAGGAGGTTATCGCCGCCACGGAGTCATACTTTGCAGACCTTCAGAAAACGTATTTTTCAGACGGGTTAAAGAAGTTGGAGCAGCGCAAGGTTAAGTGTATCGAGGTGAAAGAAGACTATTTTGAGAAATAAATCGCCGCTTTCACAAAATCTTAGTTTGATAAAACGAACCTAAATGTTTGATACACTCGTAAAATTCTTCAGTTATAACGAGCGTAAAACTGGATTTTACCAGAATCAGGTAACCGAAATCTTCCAACCGCGTGGTGGGGTATGACCAATCGTCAGCGTCTGCCGCCACCGCCATTTAGTCTGATACCTTCTTTATTCATTGTATTCAGTGTCCTGCACTCTTGAAGTCATAGGTGACGCAATTTCTAAGAAAACACGTAGAGCTCTTACTGTAAATAGTAAATACGATATCGTCAAAAGATTGCAAGGAGGTGTGAAGCAAAGTGAAGTTTGTTCTGGAATGGGATTAAGTAAATCAACAGTGAGTACTGCACAATAACATGTCCTAAACATACATAAATAAGCTCTCTGAGATATAAATTTGATTTACAATTTGTCATTTTAATTACAGGTTGCTACAATTTATAAAAATGAAGACAAAATATTATAAATGTTTGAGAAAAGCCAAAACATAAATGAGAAGAAAATTAAAAAGCCCACGAATTATAAAGTTGATCAGGGACTTCTGAAATGGTTTTCTCAATGGAGAAATAAAAAAGTAACCATACTGCAATCCAATACTGAAGACCTTGGGAAGAAGTTATTGACATATGAAGAACTGAGTGAAGAACCTAAATTTAGTAGAAGCTGGATCGAAAGATTCAAAAGACGACATAACATTACTAGTGGAAAAATTGTTGGAGAGTCTGCTGCAGTTGATATGGACTGTGTGAATAACTGGTTGCGGAACAAGTGGCCAATCATTAGAAGGAACTTCACAGGCGAGGACATATTCAATGCAGATGAAACTGGGTTATTCTATAAGCTTACACCTGACAGGACCTTAAGATTCTAAGGCGGGTGGGAAGCTATCTAAAGAAAGAATCACTGTGCTTCTAGTGGCAAATCTAACAGGGACAGAAAAAAGAAAGCTACTGGTAATTGGAAGATCGAGAAACCCTCGATGTTTTGAAAACGTTTCACAGTTGCCAGTTAATTACAAATCCAATAAAAGAGCATGGACGACCTCAGAGATTTTTGATGCTGAACTGCGTAATTTGGATGTTTAGTTACGCCGCGAAAAACGAAAAATTATATTATTAGTGGACAATTGTCCAGCTCATCCAGATGTTAAAAAATTGGACTGTGTTAACCTAGTGTTCATACCCCCAAATACGAGTTCTAAACTACAGCATATGGATCAGGGTGTAATCCACAGTTTAAAAAGCCATTATCGTCAAGTTCTTCTCTCGAGAATGGTAGATTTTATTGATAGTGGCGGGGAAAATTTTACAATCAATCTTTTGGATGAAATAAACATGTTCATATGGCATGGCAGGAGGTATCAGAAGAAACAATTTTAAATTGTTTTACGCATGGGGGTTTCTTGGAGGTTGAGGATCATTTTGATCCCGACGATGACCAGCCATTAGTTGAGTGGATGAAGAAAATTCAACAGGAAGACGATCTTCGAGACAATATTAGAGCCAATCTTCCTTATAGTGAAAACGATTTCAATGAGTTTGTCCATATTGATGACCAAGTTGTGACTGTCGAATACCTGGATGATGATGCCATTGTAGCTGCTATATCTTCGGCAGTTGATACTGATGATGACGAAGAAAAGGAAAATAAAGATGAAGAATCTGTCGGTATGGAACTGATACCAACTCCAACCACATCAGAAGCAATTCGACATATTGACAGCGTTCGTCATTTTCTTCAGTCACGAAATACTCCGCAGCGTGTGCTAGATCGACTAGCTGAAGTGGAATTACATATTGATATTCATTCAAAAATAAACCAAACTAAAATAAATGATTTTTTTAAGAAAGATTTTCAAAAACTTTTATAAATGTGGATTATAGATATTATTACATATATATACTATGTATTACAAACATTTTATATGCCCCTGGTTGAATAATAAACTAATGAAGAATATTTTCTGGTATAAGCATTATTTATCGTTTATTACGAAGTTCCCTTATAGCGAACCAGTTTCGCCGGTCCCTAGAGGTTCGTTATAAGCGGACATTACTGTAGTTTGATATTCAAAATCAGCGTACTAAATTACCCCAGTGCAAGCATTAATTTAACCCTTAGCAACTTTGACAATACATACATATCTAGATGTCATCTTGGAATACTGTGTGTACAAATCCTGGGCAGGCAGAGCTCCCAATTGGTTGATTTTCTCCAGTGACTCTGCAATCTTCTGCTCCAGCAAATTCTGCTTGGTAGCAAACTTTTCCAGATGTTTCGCGTCTTCATCAATCTTATCTTGAGCATCCCTTTCTTTCTTCTTCCAATTTTCCAGGTCTGCCTGTTCAACTTTCAGCCTTTTCGCCATGTCTTTCACTTTGTTTTCCATTGCAGTAAGGCCTTTGTTGACCTTGTCGATCTTTTTATCGATTTCTTCAAGCTCAGATTTGCAGTTTACTAACTGACGTTTTCGATCTTCTAATGAGATTTCTTGCAGAGCGTGTAGAACTTCATCCCTTCTTCTGATCAGATTATTCGTCAGGAGATTTTCAAGCTTGTTTTTCTCAGCTTCAAGCTTCATACGCGTACTGAAGGCCTCCTTGTTCTCTTTTTGCAGTCTCTGAAACACGGAAATGGTTTTGTGAGCCATATTTCAAACAGTATAATAATAATAATCGTCTTTAAACTGTACAATTTTATACAGAGAAACAAGAGTTGCATATAGTGGCGAGGTTTAGCAACATGCGACTCTTACACTACCACCCATGCAAAAAAAACAAAAGTTGTTAAGTAGCAGATATAAAAAAATACATGTTGCGCCAAGGTTTACTACATGTACACAAACGAAGTAACGAAAAAACATTTAACAATACAGATAAGAGCAATCTAGTTAAACTATGGGTGCAAGCAGATATGAGATTTGACGGCTTTCTTGAAGCAATTTAAGGACATGGTTTTGAATTCAGGACTCAAAGCATTGTATAACACTGCAGCACTGTACGTGAAAGAACGCTGGAATAAAGCTGTGGAATGAATAGGTGTAGTTATCAAATTTGGAAATCTAATATGTTTATCATGAATATTACGCCTAAAGATCAGCTTTTCTCTCAAGTATATAGGTTTTGACATAATTATTAGTTTATGAATGAATAAAAGGTTATGATATTTGACAATATTTTTGGTTATCATCCAGTTTAATTCAATAAGACTACCAGAAACATGGTCAAAGCGCCTTAAACCGCAGATGAACCTAGCACAATGGTTTTGCACAATTTGATTCCGATTTCTAGTAACATCATCGAGACGCGGATGATGTAAAATATCACAGCAGTTGAAAATCGGATTGGATTTATCAGGATTTATTGACAGGTTGTGGTTATTCGAGAAGTCATACACTTTTTGAATATCATGGTTGATTGATGTCTGCGCCATTTTCATATCATCAGTATCAAAACAGTGGATTAGGTGAGTATCGTCCGCAACAGAAACTCACAGCCTTAGGCAGATTGGCAATATATATCAAAAACAACAAGGGACCCAAAAAGACCCCTGAGGTACTCCTAGATTTATTGTTATCAATTGATACTCACTGCGATCGATTTAATATATAATTTCGAAAAAGGTTCAATGCAATTGGATCTATGCCATCATTATAGATTTTAATTGGATCTGCTGGTACAGGGTCATAAGGCGCTCACGGAACGTTCATCGTTGCTCTGGCTTTGTGTATGTATAATCCTTTTTTCTATTCTGTATTTGAGAAAGAATCTTCAGACAAGATCACAGCACTTAGATCCCATTGGGCCCCTTGCAGACGTTTGAATTTTTTTGTTCATTTACCTGTATATCATCATTAAGCATGTCAACTTGCTGTTGATCCTGTACAGACAGTTGTGCTAGCAGATCCTGATGGAGTTCAGATTCAAGTCCCTCTTTGGTGGTCTGCATGGCCTCCAAACTTGATTTACATTGGGCTAATGAACGTTCCTTTGGTCCACGGAATCTCTCGATGTTGGACAGTTCTTCACGCATGAGACGGAGTTCGCCTTTCACCTTGTCATAAATAGCTGACAAATATACCGTTAGCGAAAAAAGATCATTCATTTGTGGAGAAAAAGGAAAAGGCACATTTTAATCTTAATAATTTTCTTTTTTACCTTTGGCTTTGCTGTTTTTGGTCTCAGTCTTTTGCATCTCAGAAACGATACTGTTGATAGAAGTTTCTGTTTTTGCAAGTTCCGCTCTCAGTTGCTTCAGTTCTTGTTCACATTGCTGAATTTGAGCTATGGTCTCACTACGATTTTTTTGCATTTCTAAACGAGACCTGGACGAGTTGAAATATCCGCCTGTCAAAGAGCCTTTGGACGAAACCTGAAACAAAAATTATAAAAAATCAATATTCATCCAGTCTCTTAATTTAAAAATTTTATTTTTGCCCCCTAATTGTACATCAGCTTGTCAACCACTTGACCAAGGGATTATAAAGAGTTTTAAAACTTATTATCCAAGTCTAGTACTCAAACACATGCTAGTAAACATTGAAAATATGCAAAGCGGAGACCAGTTAAATGAGGCTGATAAACCTGACCCAGAATCGTATTACTCGGCTTGAATTTGCTAAAACTCATCTAACTTGGACGTAACAACAATGGAATACAGTTTTATGGAGCAATGGAAGCAAATTTAACTTGTTTGGATCTGACGGTACGGCATATGTGAGACGTCCAATATGAAAAAGATTCGACAAAAAGTATCAGTTGCCAGCACTTAAGCACGGTGGAGGCAACAACATGGTTTGGGGCTGTTTTTCTAGTTCTGGAACGGGTCGAATTGTTAAAATTGTTGGGCGAATGAAACAAAAACTCTACAGAGATATTCTTAATGAACACATGCTCCCTTTTGCTGAAGAAGAAATGCCTTTACGATAGAAATTCCAGCAAGACAATGACCTCAAGCATACCTCAAAATTCGTAAAGGATTTCTTAAAAAAATGTTAATGTTCTTACATGGCCTTCGCAATCCCCAGACCTAAACCCTATAGAACATCTCTGAGAGAACAACTTTTAAAAATAGGAACGATTTATTTGATTATGTAGAAGTCTGTAAAAAAATGGAGTCTTCTATGAGCAGCATATGTCAGGCAGTGTTGATTACTAAAGGCTATGCTACCAAATATTAGCTCAGCAGTATTTTTTTAAATCTTTTCGTAGAGTTATTGTATTCAATTTTGTCGTCTAATTTTTGGTCATAAAATAATATGAAGGTATCTTAATGCTAGTCTGTTGCAATTACAAATCGTCATTTGTATCCTCAAGACTGTAAGCAAACTAAATGAGAAAAAAATAGTCCTTGATAATAAAGAACAAAAAATTAGCACACTTTTTAAAAATTACTAAGAATGTTTCCAAACTTTCGTCCGCTACTGTATGAATGTACATACATTGTATATATCTTAAGGTGAGCGCCTTTTTTTCTTGAGTTTAAAGTTTTTTGTTTATTTTAAAAATATCTATATACATATACGTTTTAAATGTCCCAGTTTCTTTAATATATTCATTTTTCATTAAAAACACGATTTTTGTTGTGTTTATTTTATAGGGACATCCCTCTTGAACTGACACTCTTAGTCGGTCCCATTGGCGTCCGGCCAAAAGAGATTTCACTGTATCTCAACAACATAATGGAACATTCCAAACTCTGTTCAATCCTGATATTCGATATACTTTTCAATGGTTTGTCACTGTCCTGAAAAAATCTTGTACAAAAAAACATCTACAGTACCTGATCGCCATCCAGGGTAACACAGTCAAGGCCTGTAGTTCTGGCAAGCTTAGTAGCAACGTCCAAGTTGCGACATATGAGGGTTTTTCCGAAAAGGAACCTCATAGCTTTGTCATATTTTTGGTCATAATGTAGCTTTGAAACCATCGGAATAGCATCCTACAAAAAATAATTTGTTTCACAAGAAAATTTCTATTAATCCTAAATAGAATTTGAGGACATTTAAAAAATACAACTCACAGCATCATTTGGGTAGTCCAACTCCCTGACGTTTAATCTGTTCAGAGGCATGAAATTTACTTCTCCGGGCAAAGATTGCCTATTCATTTCTTTCAAAATCTGTGTACCCACTATATCAGTGTCCACAACGTGATGAAACAACCTAAATAATAATGACAACAATAGCATTTATTACCTATATGAAAAAGATTCCTTTACAAGACAGTATTACCATACATAACTAACTAAAACATAATTCACTAAGAATACTTTTGAGATTTCTAAAAGTACAATTAAATATATCACAAATTACAATTGGGCTCATGACTAATGATGAAACAATTTAAGTAGACAAATCATTCAAATATCTCGGTATATATACACTAAGTCACAAAAAATGGCAAATCATCCGATTTTAATAGTTTTTGGCATATACGTATGTTCAGTGTCCCTTACTAGTAAAATGATCAAATTTTCAGCTTGATTTGTCAACTGACTGCAGAAGCTGGTTCAATAATGTGTTGAGGATCCACGATTTCTTATACGCTTACTGAAACGCCTGGGCATCGTGCTGATAAGGTGGTCGATATCCTGTTGGGGTATCTCGTTCCAGGCTACTGCAACTGCGTGAGTAAGAGCTGCTAAAGTCTGTGGAGGGTGTTGCAAATTCAAGAGCCTGCGACCTATCATGTCCCAGACATTGGAGATAGGTCAGGCGATCGTGGTGGCCAAGGTAAACGGTTTATGCGATGTTGATCCATGAAGGCTAACGATGCTCTGGCAACATGCGGTCTGGCATTGTCTTGCTGAAAAATCGGGTTTTGGATGGTGTTTAGGTATGGAATAAGATGAGGTTCCACTACTTCCTGAATATAGCGTCGGGCTGTCATATTGCCTCTGATCAAAATTAGTGGTCATCTGCTACCATAAGCAATAACATTCCATACCATAACTCCCACGGTGTGGTGAACGAGACGCTCCCTGTCAAATTGTGGGTCACGTCTTTCACCTCGTCGCCTTTTCACTCTTGCCCGACCATCGAGCATCCCCAGACAGAAGCGGGATTCATCACTAAAGACCACCTGATTCCATTCCCGGTCCCACAGAATTCTTTCTCTACACCAGAGCAAACGGTTACGCCGACCAGCTGTGAGAGGTAGCAACCAATGTGGGCGATAAGAAAAAGGTTCAAACTGTCGTATTCGGCGTTATACCGTACGCATAGCAACCTTCCTTCCATGCTCTTCAAACCACTGATTAGCATGGCTCGAGTACTACTGTGGTCCCTCTGGGTCGCCCAGAACTCCTCGCTCGCTGTCCTCATCCTTCCCGAGTCTATGCTCGTTCACACTGCAGTATAGTGCGTGAGGATCTGTTGGTCCTTCTAGAAACTTCTCTTATCGATAGACCGACTTCACGCAACCCGACAATTCGAGCCCTCTCAAAGTCACTTAGTTGGGACAACCGGCGAATTCTATGCACTCTAAGCATTTTGAGCAATCACAAAAATTCTTCTCAATAAGCTACACGAAAATTAACATTTAACTGACACCGTAAATGTACGAAAACTGTGTGCTTCTTTATCGCCAAACAATGCACGCAGTCACCACAAAAACTTAACAGAAAAACCTGACCATTTTATCACTTGTTGTTCATGGCAAGGTAAATCGATATGTAAAAAATTCTTGAATTCTAATAAACATACGTAGGTGTTTACTTTTTTTTGTCACTTAGTATATTTCAAGAGCATTACAAAAATATCAGAAAAGATAAATTGCTTCTATAGAGTTTAGCATAATCTCAGTATGTATCCCAAAAAAATTTTGTGTAACACAATAATTCTTCCCCATTTTCGAGCTGAGATTATAGATGTTTATACAATCATTAATGATATTAATTTAACAAAATACTTTTAAAACCACAACGAACAGCAAGGTACCACATTCCACGTCATCGCAGAGATCATGGATAAATAGCAATAATAGGAAAGGACCCAAGGTTGATCATTGGGGCACTTAGTATATTTCAAGAGCATTATAAAAATATCAGAAAAGATTAATTGCTTCTATAGAGTTTCCCATAATCTCAGTATGTACCCCAAAAAAATTTTGTATAATACCATAATTCTTCCCCATTTTCGAGCCTAGATTGTAGATGTTTATACAATCATGTTAACAATGATGTTAATTTAACAAAATACTTTTAAAACCATAACGAACAGCAAGGTACCACATTCCACGTCATCACAGAGATCATGGATAAATAGCAAAAATAGGAAAGGACCCAAGTTTGATCCTTGGGGCACCTCTGAAGTGGCCGAGCACTGCTGAGACTTGTATTTATTACAAGTTACGTTCAAACGACAATCAGTAAGACGAGAATAGTTTTATGGACTTAGTAAAGCCTAAATAAATAAATCAGTCAATTTCTCTTCTACCTACGTCAACACTAGCATACTGATACTGATTCTCTTTGCAATATTAAAAGCCTTTCCATCTTACCTATTGCCTGCAGTGACTTCTACAGCTGTATAAATGCTTTTTTCGCAATCGAAATTTTCGATGACGGGTCCATGATAATGTTTTGCAACTTCTGCCTCTCTACCTCCGCGTGTCGTAAATGTGTCCAACACTTTGCGAACACTATCTCTGCCATTCAGGATAGGCTTGCCGACCATGGATCTCAATTGCTGGTCTGCTTTAGCCAGATCTTCTTTCAATGATGATAGGTTCTGTTGAACGTTGTTTTCTTTGCGCCACAATTCACTGAAATAGAAAAAATGGTGCCTTTGTTTAATGTTTCAAAGAAAAAGGATGAGTCAAATCGTTTCAAAAGGCGAAATCGAATCCTACAATTTTTATCCCCTCCAAACAGTGTCTAAAAATGAGCAGGAATCTCTGAAACGTTGTAACACTATTTTACTTCCCCGCCTCTGAATCAATTTTCAAAATCTACTAACTACTACCTAAACTATGTAAGTATTAAACTCGCGATAATACACGAACTTCGGTTTACAAGTTTTCTGTTGCTTAAAGATATCTCCATCACACAAGTCCGAGTTTCTCATTTATGTTGGTTTGTCAGTATGTATCTGTTATATATCAATGCGTCATAAGTACTGAGTCAATCTACTTGACGAAATATTCAGAGAACCATCATTGACGGAGTATCACAAATTAAAGGTTAGTGAAATGGGTAGTACATTTGAGGATCATAAAATTCAGAAAAATATATGTGTAGATATAAAAACAGTTTCACCTAACATTGTGGGTACAAAAATGTATTTTGCGTTATTTGGAAATAAAAATTTGTTGTTATGATACAAGATCAGGTATGAAATAGTTGTGCTCACTTTCTTGTAGCTTGAAATTGATCCTTGTTCTTTTTCAGCTCATATATCTGTTTATTGTGTTCATCAATGAAATTCTTCTGCCTTTCAAGTTCTTGTGTTTGCTCCTCAATCTTCTTAGTCAATTCAATGACCTTATTCGCGTCTCGTTTCAAATCTGCCTCCAGTTTATCTCTATGATCTTTCTTATCTTTCAGTTGCTTGTTCAGAGATTTCAGTTCATTTTGGATCCATCGATCTCTGTCGTCCTTTGAGGTGAACTGACTCCCTCTACCTTGTTTTGCATACAATTCTTTCCGCTTTTGCTCTTTCAAAGCAAGTTCTCTTGTACATTCATCTTCGCGTTTCTTCATTGCCTCATATTGAGGTTTTATCTGAAATATATCAAATTATTAGTCTTAATTATCTCTAAATAAATGTAGGACTAGTGCGAACGTAATTTTGCACAAGTACTATCATCGAATAATATATTAAACTTAAGCTGTATTTAGACGTTCATATATAGGGTGTCCCAAGACATCGAACCATGCCATAACATCCGACTGTATGACTTCCATTCCCAATATTGCTTCACCGAGAACCTGCAGTAAGGGAGAGTGTGGTGTCGAAGGAGAAAGCAGCATCTATGCTTGCCAGAAGAAAGTCTTTAATGTTCAACAGGATAAGTATGGGACTCAATACTGAGCCCTGTGGAACTCCAATAGATAGTTCCGTCGCCTGAGACAACATTTCTTTCACCCTGACTAACTAGCTTTGGTAGTGAGAACATCGTCTGTTGGGTTTTGCAGCGGCAGAAGTCCACTCGCATCGAAACATGCCTTAATATCCGACTGAACGACTTGCATTCCCAATATTGCTTCATCCAGAGAGCCTGCAGTAAGGGAGAAAGTGCTGTCGTCCACGAAAAAAATGAAAGCACCATCTATGCTTGCCTAAAGCAAGTCATTAATGTGCAACAGGAACGACACAGGACCCAACATAGAGCACTGTGGAGTTTCCTTTCCTGAGACCCCACTTCTCTCACTCCGACTACCTAGCTTTTGTAGTGAGAACATCGTCTGTTGGGTTTTTGCTTTGATTTAGCAGAAGTCCACTCGCACAGCTTGCATTTCCAATATTGCTTCATCCAGAGAGCCTGCAGTAAGGAAGAGTTGTTAATGTATAACAAGGATAATATATGACCCAATACTGAGCCCTGTGGCACTCCGATGGACAGTTCCTCTTCCTGAGACACCGCTTCTCTCACTGCAACTACCTGGGTTCTATTTGCTCAATATGCTGTAAAGATAGAAACAGCAATATCGGGAAAATTATAGTATTTAAGTTTGTGGATTAGAACTTTGTTGAGCTGAGCTATATCAATTAATAGTTAAACTTTAAACTAAAAAACCTAGTGTATTCACCTTTTCCAATTCTGCCTCCTTTTCTTTGATGCTGTGTGTCAATCTGGCCAATTCATTCTCAGCTCTCTCTTTAGATTTGTTGTCACCCAATACTTCTTCTGACAAATCCTTGATTGTCAAATCTAACTTGGCTTTTTCTTTAATAAGATGCTGCTGGTCGTTGGTCAGAATGTCACGCTCTTCTTTCAAAGAATTGAGCTCCTTTTTTGTCTCTTTGACTTTCTTTGTGAGTGTTTTTATGTTATCTTGAGCCTTTTTCAAGTTGGCTTTCAACTTTTCTTGCTCGGTTCCAGATTCGTTTCTTTGTTTTTCTAACTAAAATAAAGATACAAATAAAAATTATCATTCTCCTTGGTTTAAAAAAAAACTTTTGAGATAGTTCTCGCATTTTGAATTAAGAAAATTAGTCAGGAAGCTATACGAGTTTAACGCCAAATATCAATTTACTTACATCTGCAAGTTTCTTTTTATTCTCATTCAGCTCAACCTCATGTATGATGTATTCCAATGCTCTACGAATCTTGTCATAATGCTGATACTGTTTCAACTCTTCCTTTTCTTCTTCCAAAGTACTAAGTCTTTCCTCAATCGTTCTTAAAAACTCCTCAATTTTCTGACACTTGATCTCTGTTTCTCTTAGAATAGCCATCGATTCATCACGTCTTTCATCATAAACCCTTGTACCGGCTACTTCTCTCAATAGTTTTAGCCGATGGGCATCTGGGGCAGTAGCCATTTGGTTGATCTGAAAGTGGATGTTGAAAATTCTCTCAACGGAAAACCTCTAAATAGTTTATAGGAACTTTGTACATGAGCCGAATTCGAGGTAAAAAATGGGTCATTTGGGACCACCCATGGAACAATGATTATAGCAGGTAACTGGAAATACGAGGGTTGTCTCAAAAATAAGGTTCCATGCTAGGCGAAATCTGGCTACACCGTCGTGTTTCTCGGCTCCCCACTACCGATCCCGATGGAAGATATAATCAGAGCAGCAAATTTAAACAGGAATGGTTTATTATACAATAGAAAGCACCAATGTTTAGCGTTCGCAGATGACATTGCAACTGTTGCTAGCAAAAGAGAATTGATACAAGTACTAAAAACACTTGAAGAGAAAGCAAAGGAAAAGGGTCTAATAATAAATCAGGAAAAAAACTAAATATATGAGATTGACAGATGATGATTTTATTACAGGAGAAAGCCTACAGGTAAAAACAGGCAGTGGCAAAATATATAATTTTGAAGAGGTCGATCAATTTGTCTATTTGGGATCAACATTCACAAGAAAACCGGGCACAAGGGAGGAAATCAAAGCAAGACCGGGGAAGGGAAATAGATGTTTATATAGCCTGAACCATCTCCTGAAAAGCAAGTTGATAAGCAATAAACTAAAAATTAAATTATTTAAAACAGTAATAAGACCATCAGTTACATTTGCTTGGGAAACATGGATCTTGAGGAAGGCAGATATAAATACCCTAGAAGTGTGGGAAAGAAAGGTATTAAGGAAAATTTTTGGTGGGAAACAGAACAATGGAGTATGGGAAAGAAGAACAAACCAAAACCTTGCAGATATGTATAAAGAATCAAATATCACAGGATATATAACAGCGCAAAGGTTGAAATGGTTAGGGCATGAAGAAAGGATGGCAGAAATTAGGATTCCAAAAATGATTGTTAGCAGAAGCATAGGAGGCAAGAAGAGGAGAGGGCGACTGAAGGAAAGATGGAAGAGCGAAGTAGAAGCTGATGTGAGAAGCCTATACAATTTTTGTAATGTCATTGTACAATTTGAAATATAGAATATTATTATTATTCAAAAAACCTGTTTTTTTTCGATTAAATCGTAATTTTTTTATTTGTATCAATTTTACCGATTTTTTTCGTAAATATGGGAATAATGAACTTTGTAATAACTTATTTTAATTTTTTTCTCTATTTGCCCAAAAATATTTATTTTCTATATTTACAGAAAGAAAATCTCGTCGACGATACACAAAAAAAACTTGTGTTGACATGTTACAACTTATAGTCAGCCTATACGTTTATAAGTAATCACTTTGCTCCTGCAACATATGTAAAAGGAGGAGGAAAAAATATGACTGCTTACAAGTTGTGGTGGTTTAGTGATGTGTGTGACGACAAGGTGAATGTGCAAGGGACACTTGGCAACTATGGGAGGATTTGGGCAGTCAGTCGACACTGGACACGCGTCGGGGCAGGGTCGCGATTCGTGTATTCTTTTAAGTTTTGCTTAGAATTGCTGTTTTTTGCGAGATTTCAATAAATCGTGTACTCTCTCGAATCTACCGTTATTTACTCATCGAGAACCCACCCTCTGTCGATTGGTAAAATCGGCAGCCCTGTGCATCTTTGGAGCCCACGAGGGGACCATTGCAATATGTTCATTGAATTGTGTCCAAAACCTCTGAAAAGTATCGGGGAGCATAAAAATGAAATTGAAACTGTAGTGAAAGAAAAAGATTCAAATATCTACTTGAAAAGATCTGCTTAAGGGTTTTCAGGGAATCTGAAACTTATTTCAATTGTCATTGATGTGGTTCAAAGAAGTGATGCAACCCTCCTGCTGTTGCTCAAGAATTGGAAAATCTATTGATTTAAATTGATGCAATCCTGATTTATTTGAAAAATTACTCACCTTTCCTTGTTTGACAATGTAATATGGATTAGAATTTGAAAAACCAGCGGACTCAAGTAAATTCATAACCTCAGTCCTTGGAACAACCTTTTTATTCAGAAAATACTGGTCTTTTTTGGCACCAATCACTCTCTTCAGGAAAATTTCCTCTTGCTCAAGCTATAAAGGCAGAATATTCTTTCAGTGCATTAATACTATGTTCAGCATTTAAAAATAACTCTTGTTAAATTATGCACTTAACAAAGTAATGTAGATTATGGCCAGTGACATTGTGTCCAACTACTGGAATGAATGGATTTTCATAGCATCCCAATAACCGGCGACGTTGAGATGTTTATGCAAATTACGACGCCATCTTCAGTGCTTTTCGAAACAGAACCGCCGCAGTTCCAAATGGAGCTGATTAAGCTTCAATGCGATATGATCCTTAAGGATAGATACTACCACTACAATAGTAATTTAATTTCGTTTTATCAAGGTGTTAAGCAGCAAGATTTTCCCAAAATTCTTGCACTGGCCTTGAAAACTTGCTCCATGTTCGGTACAACGTACTTCTGCGAGCAGATGTTTTTTTTAATGAATTTGAACAAAACTAAAAACAGGTCTTTGTCTGATGTGTCCTTAGAGGCGATACTCAGAATTTCCACTGCTCAAGCCACTGTACCAAATCTTAGAAAACTTGTTGAATCGAAATGCTGTCAAAGATCATCTTAAGAATAACGTCGAAATTATGAACATTATTTTATCACCCGCGCGTTGATTCGATCAGACCAATTCAAATGTCAATACGAATGTCACTCCACTCATTTTCCGTTGGGGCTGGGAATCGGCGAAATTAAACCTTATCGCTGATTTTACTAAACTTAGTAATAATATGTAGTTTCAAAGTAAATGAACAAAAAGGGCTTGGTATGCCGATGAAAGTACCTGTCATATCGACTTGAAGATACGTGACGGTAGGATTTTACCATAACCTATATGTATATCAATGGTCAGGATGTTTCATATTCATTTTACATATACTTTCAAACATCTAGGAGCCTGGTGTCAAACTGACAGACTCAAATGAGCTTTTAAATGCAAGCATGAAGCATACAAACAGGATGTATTATTTTGATCTATTTATATTGCCTGCTATAGCTTTCAGTCAGTAAGGCAGAAACTTCTGGCAGAAATCAGTTTGTCATACCATCTTTTTCCAAATGAGCCTAAAATTTCCATCAACCCTTGTAGGCTTCATTGGACTCAGTGAGAACGGTGAAATTCTCTTGTCATGCTGTATCTTTAAGTCGGTATGACAGGTACTTCTGGCAGGTTCTGCCCCATCTTACTGAGCTCTTGTTCATTTATTTAAAAACTACATATTATTACTAAATTTAGTCGAATCCGTGATGATGGTATACTCAATGCCACCAACTCCCGGGTCATTTCTATTCGCAGCACTGTGCACGCGAGTTGGAGAGGCCTGGTCTAAACTGTCTGGCCACACATATTCACCATACCATAGCATCATCAATGAGAATTTCTGTTTCTCTATTACTATATTTAAAAGTGTCTAAAACATATGGTCCCATAGCCAACTCTATCAGTCACATCTATGAGATACTGGTGTGGAAAATTCTCATAGATGATGCCACAATACAGCATCAAGAGAATATATATCTAATTAATTGCAAAATATGCTTACAGGAACTCTGGAATCAGAGTTATCAAAGATAATCTCAACATAAGCTGAAAGTGCTCTAGGGCCTGTTCCTTCATGTAGTAAGGCTTGTCTCTGCTCTGGCCTCAAATGAGAGTATTCATCACTCAACACGAACTGAATTGCGTAGAAAAAGTTACTTTTTCCAGAACCATTTCGGCCCACAACTACATTGTGCCTTTTATCAAAGGGCTCCACTACTGTTTGATCCCTGTAGCTTTTGAAGCCCTGAATGATAACCTGTAAAAACATTATTTATCATTCAATAAAAACCATACTAATTGCGATGTTAACCTGTTTTATATGCATTTTTGTTGATTAACTGGGAATCATTGGTCTGTTTTGTTCAAATTCACCCACTATTCATCAAAAAGATTGCGATTACAAAAACATAATTAAAAGGTCCATGTTTGACAGTTTGACTCGATTTTTTCACCGTTACGGTAGCCAACACAAAACATATACACTGACGAAGGAAGGTTTAATTCCATGCTATTCAATGGCAACACGGTGACTTGTGTGATTGTCAGTGGCCATTTTTTGAGGGTGCGGCATGGTTGCCAGATTGTGCTTTAATATCCCGTTGCCAGCTCTACAGATAAATCTGAGATTGCTATACTTTTATATACATGGAAATTTGGTGGGATATGGGAGATCTTGTAACAGCATGTGTTATTAACATTTTGCGCTATGTTGACGAATAGGTGCCTTTTTGTATGCTAAAATAGCAACATCAGTAACACAAGCTGTTATAAGATAAATCATATCTACTAACTAATCTGGAAAGGTTCAGAAGAAAAACATATACTGCAAATACCTAAATATATATTTATTATATAAATCTCATAGATTTTTCTACAAACATACAAATCAGTATTAACATTATTATGATGATGTTTTCATTCCCCAGCCTTTGTTGGCACCTGCATAAGTCAAAAACTCGGAAAAAATGAACTGTGTTGATATGTTACTACAATTCAGATTTCTTTTTTATTAAAACAATGATATTATTGTCCATCGATACCCCACAGGAATTTTTCTCAGGGGTCATCATCATCATCACGACATAACTTTTTGTGAAATTGTACCTGTCCCAAAATTTTTTGACAACCAGAGGTAGCAATTTTTTCACGGGGGACAAAACCAAGAACATTCTCAAAGTTGTACACAAAAGCATGCTAAATATGCAAATTTTAAAATCAAAGCTGATTCGCACGAGAGACCATGGCCCCCCTGTCACTGCCGTGTGGGCACGCAGGTGGCTTCGATTCCATTGAAATTATAGTGAGCTTTACATATCAACCCTGCTGCTTCGAGAATAGCTAATTCGGACACCAGTTATTCAGACATATAAAAACTTACAAATGTTATGGTCTACAAACATCCTATAGAGCTGTGCCTTTTGGTTACATCACAAGTAATCTCCAAACTTCTGATAATTCTCAGGAACTCAGGGGTTGTCACTGGCGGCTGAACTTTTCGTAGTGTTCCACTGTTCAAAAAGTTGTGTGAAGATTCCAACAGGTATGATCTTCAAATATTACATTCCTCAAATGAGTAACCGCTACATCAGTATCTGCCAGAAGCCTGGCTACTGACTGGGATCATTTGGATCAACTTAAAAAAAGAAATAGTTTTTATTTAGAGGTTGTCTTATAGTATTTACAAATATATTACAGCTTTAAGTACTTACATTTTTATACTGCACAACTCAGAACAAAAGGCATGTCTCAAATAACATCATAGGGACTTTATTCAATTTAAACTGATATGTTTATGTCACGCAAAACGAAAATGGCTTGCTGAAAAAGTGTTATTTATACAAAGCATAGCGCCGGCTCCACACGTTGGCCCCCGACGTTGGTACCGGTTAAGTTGGTGAAGCGTCCACACGTTGGTTATTATACTAGTTCCTTTCTATCAGAGCCAATGTGAAGATGTCCGACACCGAAACCGAAATTGCTCTAAGCGCTTTTACAGTACTGATGAGTGCGTATAATTTATATTTGTTGATGTTTAACTTACCTCTGTATTGATCGTGTATGTATCTGTTTTATCATAAATCGGAGCAAGAAAGCTGTCCATTAGATCATAGGCGAACCAATTCGGTTTAAAAATATCATCCACCGATGACCCAGAACGAGTAGAGTCCAAAATTTTCTTTCGAGATAGGCGATATGTGCTCATCAATGATTCTCGTTTCTTTTTTAATTCCTCAATACAATAAATCATTTTCATATTCTGTTGAATATTGCGCCATGCATAAGCTACTAAACTTCTATTTTTATGGTCCTTGCGAGAGGCGTTCCATATTATTGGATGCGCCTGGTATAACTCTAAAAATTCTACAACTTTTTCGTTTGTCCACGCGGGTAGCGATGTTGTTGATGACATATCTCCACATACGCACCCGACGCGTGTTACAACAAGACTGAGCCAGTGAGCCAATATGTGGATGTATTGCCAACGTTGGCGCAGATTCCTTTGATAAAACCGATAATCTACAGCCAACTACCAACGGTCGCTCCAACGTTGGGGCCAACTCTATTTTCTAGATACACACGTTGGGCGAGTGGCGTTGGGGCCAACGTTGGGGCCAACGTGTGGAGCCGGCGTAGGAAGAAACTCGCCGGAAATTTAAATCTGACCAATCAGACAACGTCAGTTGTGAATAAGCCCCAATTTTTTGGGGGTTGCGACATGGTTGTCATATTGTGCACCAGCAACACTGCTTTGTTTCCCATTCGCCCATATGAGTTTCACCCCGTGTCGCCAACACTACAAAATAAAACAAGAGCGTAGTAGCGTTGGGCAAAAATAACCAGCAAAAACAGGTTATTTCATAATGTACGGTTAACCAGTTATCCGTTAAAAAATGCAATAACCGGACGGAAAGATTTTCTTTTTCTATCAACACAAATCTCAGTAAATGTGGGGGTAGTGAATATTATAGCTGTGTATTTTTGTTGTTCATGACCACTACCACAACGCCCCGCCCCATATGCGCTTTGAGATAACTCTAGGTTCTAATAGATGTTCTATGGTCACAAAACGCCTTTTTTACGCTCCGGTTTTTGATTAGACTTTACGTTTGACAGATGCCAACTTCACGTATCCCGCATTTATTATTCTATAACTTGGATTGATTTATCAAAAAAGTTGTGAGTCGCAAGTCTGTCCATAAATGCCGCACTCTAGACGCTTACACCGTCTGATATGCGCTATCTGGGCGCTTAGCTAGCCACGGTGTAAACATAGCCAATGTCACTATAAATTGTTGACAAAAATAAAGGTCATTTTCCGGTTAACCGTATAACCGGTTAAATTTGGTTCGGTTAACCGGTTGTACTTGTTTCTATTACAACCGGTTTTTATCAATAACCGCCCATCCTTAGAGGGTAGGTCATGTAACGTCAAATTTGGTTTAATGTTCCGTGGATGACCAGCACGGCACACAAAACTCCGACAAGAGTCCGTGGCGCAACCTTGCGCGCCAATTTTAAGCGTACATAAAATTATTTTCTAGTTGGCAATATGTCTATTTTCTATCGAACTCTGCTATTTGTTTTCCCGGTTTTCCGTGTTACTTAAAGTGAGAGTGACCGTGTTAGAGTGTGTAAAATGAAAAACAAACGTGACAATTCTTTCAGATATATCTGAAATAGGTACTTGATTTCGGGGCGCTTTAAATGAATTCGTCCATTGGGAGGTGAGGTATGGTGGTAGTACTAGCAGGCTGACACTATGGAAATATGTCTCGTACGCGCTTTTCGTGTGAACAAACAATAAGCTGGTTCAAAGGTAATCAATTATTATTACCAAATATTCAGACTTACTGTAAGAGTTTCTTTTCCTCCTTTTTGGCGCGAAATTTTTAAACGCCTTGCATTTCTATCCTTATGCCGGCAACGCCAGAGCAGGATCCAGGGAAGCAGTGTTGCTGAACCTACCGATTTTTCGTCATTATTCTCTGCGATTTTTTTGTAATAATAGATATTACCCGATTTCTTACCGAATAAGGGCTGGAACCAAAAATAAAGCTGAAACCTATGTCAGAGTTATGCGTCATTTGTCGATATGGAGAATTTTGAAATATTACTAGATGATCAGCTGTTATTCTACCGTAATGGATACTCAGAAAAAAGACAATATGCTCATTGTATTGTATAAGTTGTAATAAAGAAGTCAATATTTTTTTTGCAAAACATGTCCTCAAAAAACCTGTGTTGTGTGCGCGCGCAAAAAAAAAATTCTTATATAAACGGCGCTGTGACGCAAAGGCACTTGATCTTGCGACCTGTTTTTTTTCCTAGCGATTGGGTTCTTGAATCTACCGAATTTCAAGGACACTGTCTACCGATTTCGTCTTTTTCGGTTCGGCAACACTGCAGGGAAGCTCTATGGGAAGATAACGCCAGGAGCGGATCAAGAAAATGTACAAAAATTAAAGAATCCCTTTTGGTTAAATATTTATTTTCATACAAAAATAATTAAACGCTCCACACTGTAGGCCGATTCATCGAATTATCTAACTTGTAAGCATACAGCCATTTCTGTATATGTCTGACATGGAACTGTCTGGCTATCTTGACTGTGTCTGGGTCTAGATTGTTGTGTCCTCTCAGATCAATATGGTGGGCCCCATCTGGTATGATAATCACCACAACTGTTGAGGAAACATTGCTAAGGACACCTCCACCAGACCATGGATCCATCAAACCATTGCTGAACACGATGTTAGAGGCCGACTTTATATCTTTACCGCCGTACTTCAAAATTGGTATTTCTTCACTCCTTGGCCTGACCTACAAGATCGACCAAACACTCAAAGAAATGTTAAACTCGCGAATGGGAACCAAAATGGCATTTTTCTATTTATTCCTATAGTTACAATTTATTCAAAATTTAGTTACCTGGTAGTTCTTAAAACAGGTATCTGAATATGTCTTAAAATCCCACGAATAGTTCTCAAACATATCGTTGTCTTTTGAGCACATTGGCATTATCATCTCAGTACAACTCTGAAAAATATAGGTTCTTTAGAAAAAATAATTGCTGAAATTGTATCACAAGTTTTTCGAAAAACACGTTGAATCGACCTTAAATATTGAGGAATATATTTCCCAAGTGGCAAGCAAGTAGGACTTATTCTGAGGCCGAATACTTTATGAAAACAAAAGTTAATCATAAAACTTGAAAGCACACGACACATCCCAGTGAACATGATGACGTCACAATATTGGTACCTATTTTTAACGCACTACTGACGTACGTCGACCAACAAAAATGACGTTATTATGACGGTCTAATGTTACACCAAATTGACGTCATTATATGACGTCATGGGTATGTCGTGTAAAAGACCAAATACAAAGTCGATATGACGTACAGACGCTCGCTAAAATAATCGCGCGGTGTATTCATATTTGTTTGTAGCAATTTATCAAAATCGCTTTGCTTTTTCGCAGGAGGCCAAAACACTCTGCTTTCCTGGATGTCACCCAAGCCTTATTGACTATGTCGCAATGTTATCGTCCCAACTATATTGTACCACAATGCACGTTAAAGACGACAAAGCCCAAAGGTTTATAAAACAAAATGGCCGAACCATTGACAAACAGCGAACACTGATGTAGCTTGAACATTGGTCAAGCTCCCCACCAAGCACAATCGTGCTTCTTCGCTGATGATCGGGTGAATGGTATACCGCTCCAAAATTTGATTTTTTACCGCGCTTTATAACAAATATTCTAGAAAACTTGTTTATTGTTTTACAGAAGAGTTTCTAATAAAATTGCTACTTACGAGATTAAAACATGATGTACGATGGCAATTTGAAATATCTGAACAAGGAACATTATTATTAGAAAAGTCTAATCAACTAGATATTTTTGCTCGACGAGTTCCTGATACTTTTTTTATAAATAACAGTAGTTAATAGTGTTTTGATATCTAGTTTACCTGTTGATTAGAAGTCTATATTTTCTTTGTAGGTAAGAGTTGATTTTTCAGTACTGACTGTCGTAAAAAAAGTCAGAATGACAGCCTTTTGAAGGAGGTCTTGTTGTCGTCATAAAAATGGCGTCATCAAATACGTCATTTATCAGTCATTGACGTTTCCGACCAAAAGTGACCGAATAATGACGTCATATTGGCGTCATCGTGTTCACTAGGATGTCGTATTTGAAAGGAGTGAGGTGTCGCTAAACCTACTTGGAAGTTCCATCCATCAGCATCAATTGGGCCATCAGGGTCCCCAATATCATTACATTTAGTCGTTCCCGTGAAGTTGGTGTAAACTCCGATGGCCGATCCTATCATACTCAACATTTCAACATCATTTTTGTAAGGCTTGTTGAGTCTACTACAGAATTCTCTTATAGGGTGAGCTGGCAAAGGTGCTAGAAAGTTCGTGGGATAAGGGTAGTTCACCATTGCTAGGTTGATGTATATTTCTGACAAATAGCTGATCAAATCAGTGATATCGCCATCTGTCTTCAAAGGTTTGCATAGAGACAAGATTTTTGTGATGTTCGCCTTTCCAGTGTCGTTTCTTGCTAGTCTCCTGGAAACACACCATCATTACACAACATCGTTTTTTCATGAATTTCGTAAGGGTCGCTACATCACATTGGAGTCAAAAAGCATGATAGCTCATTCGTCATGACGTTTAGGCAACACGTCCAGCTGCACAATTAGTGCACATCAAGTAAAAAGCAACTAGTTCCACATTGACTTTTTGCGAAGCTTGTGGGGATCGCCTGCAATATGAAGCGATAAGGAGAAGAAGTAGTTGGTATCTACGCAGCAAGTTGACATTTTGTCGTTTTTTCTGGACGTTTTATAGTTTTTTTACGTAATAACTCTGCGGAATTGTATCATTCATTCAACAAAAATTTTTCCAGAATAGTCACAAACTGCGGGTTAACGCGATGGTGTCCAATAATGCCATTTCTGAAGCAGATGTTACATCACATTGGAGTCAAAGCATGATAGCTCAACCGTCATGACGTTTAAGCAACACGTTCAGCTGCACAATGAGTGCACATCAAGTAAAAAGCAAACTAGTTCCAAGTTGACTTTTGGCAAACGTTTTGGGGATCGCCTGAAATATAAAGCGATAAGAACGGCATTGAAATAAAACTGTATTTTATAGGAATTAAACAAGAATAGAAATGTCTATGCTTTCATAAATTATTACTTTTAGGCCTTCATTATATAGGAGTTAGAATAACTACGCCGTCATGTTGATTTGCTTTAATTTTGACATTTTCCGCTACGAAAAATGGTTGGTACTGCTGTATAATGATCACTAACTATAAGTACAAATTCTTTGTTCATGATGAAGGAAACCAGTCGATCCGGGATCCTGCAATACCTGTCGTCCGTCTGGAAGACCCTGGATGTACACGATACTCACTTGATGTCTTTCCAAGACCTGGCAATATTGTCAACACAAGTGCTTCCTCCAACAACGTTATAAACGGTCGTAGTGATTCTGTAAAAATTATCACAAGGAACCAAATCTTGAAACTGCCATATTGGAGCTGAAGACGCGATAGCCCCTACTATTGACGCAGGGTACTTCATTCTCAACCAGGCTGAGAGCATGCCCCCATAGGAGCCTCCGAATGCGATAACTGGCAATTTTCCTTTGGTACCACTAGGTGAATAGGTTTTTTGAAGCTCATTTATCAGATATACGAAGTCAGCCAGAGCTTGCTCGGAAGATAAGTACCCCAGGTACTGCGGAGATGAAAAGGATTTGTTGCCAAATGGTAAAGATTCACCATAGTATCTGAAAAAAGGATTGAATGCTAATAAAAACAGATTTCAAAAGCATGTGGGGGTCATACGTCATATGCCTATTCGTTCGAGATTCCTCAACTATATGAAGTAGTCAAATGCAATGGCCAGACAATAGTTGCTAAGAGCCAGATTTATAGGCCTTCCTTGAACTTGAGGTTTCCTTGGAAACAATGGATCTCTCTTTGGAAACAGAGAAACGATGACGATTCCTTGAGGAACGTTCAAGTGACGATTTGAATTTTCATTTAAGAGTAGGCTGTAACAGTTCGCATCACAAGCTGTCATCGATGTCAGAAAGATTTTTCTTTGCTGGTCGTAGCTATTAGCATTTTGATGATGAAATTTTATGAAGTTTATTTGTGCTAAATATCAATAAAAAATGCAAAATAATATTGTGTTTGCTCCTTCGAATTACAGCGTAATCACAGAGAAGTAAAAAACTAAATGTAGGCAACTGCTCTGCTGCTGCTATCTGTTTTTATTTTCAATTATCCTTTTAGTTTTATAGTATCTCGATCTTTTTTTAATATGTGTTATGTATTAATTATTATTTCCTTCTTTGACTTTTTGAGACAACCCTCGTAAATAGATACGGGCATAAAAGAAAAATCTTTCTGACGTCGATGGCAGCTTGTGATAACAACTGTTAAAAGAATGGAAACTTAAATCTTCCCTTGAACGTTCCTCAAGGAAGCGTCGTTGTTTCACTGTTTTCAAGGAGAGATCCATTGTATCCATGGAAGCTTCTCTAAGTGGAAGGTACTGTGCAAGAAATTATGACCAGGAAGATTAGACAGCTACGTAATGAGTCAATTCCTGAGAGCGCTGGCGTCCTATGGCTAATGTGAGGGAAAATCTGCTGCGCCTTGAATAGTGTGGTGTGGCTAGTAATATGGCCCAGCTCTAAAAAACCCATGGTTAGGATATACGAGGGGCCCAATGGTCCTAAGTGCTGTGATTTTAACTGATTTAAAATATTTTTGAGGTGTCTTTACTTACCTGTGTTCAGCAAAAACTATAAGGGCATTGAAGTCAGGGCTAATGTCATTGATGAATCCTGAATTTTGTGCAAATGTGTCAATAGGCCCTTCATTTCCTGTGTAGAAGAAAATTGGTCCTCTATCTGTATGATATGTATCATTGACCAGATATTTAAGCTTAAATGTCAAATTTGAAGTGTAGCTAAAACCAAGAATTATTGAAAAGTACCGTAAATATTACGATTAAATATATGATTATCTCATGAATTATTTGGTCATCTTGATAGTATAGTCTTACAGTCAGTCAGTCAGTTTTTATGCATTTCAATGAACTACTAATTTAACAACCTTCAAGCTAAATGTTTCAAAATCTGCTACGTTGTATTGCCTTTCTGGTTTGATATCATTGGTCTTTAAACGTTCCTGTAAATGTATTTCTTACGAAAACTGGAATTATACGCGAAATTATCAAGTGTCTCATCAAAGCTGTTGTAAATGGTATAGGAATTATCTTACGTACAAAATGCTCGATCTTATCCAAAGTTTGCAAAAAACAATACAATACCTATGTTATACAAAAATTCCAGGAATTTAAATGAATTTTAAGCAAAAGCACTCACCTGTAATGATCCAAAGGAACATCAATATATTTTTTAGTATAATAATATTGATCAGCTCTAACGCCACAAGTTATGATAGCAATCCACAAAATTATGGCCTTCATATTTCAGGTATTTCCCTGATTTTCACGGTGTTTTCCGGTGATGTTGCGTTCAGTGAACCGAAAATAAACAGTGCTGCCTGGGTAAGCACTGGTCTGTATTCAGACACACTGATATGATTAATTTGTTTGACCTCTCGTGAACAAGTGAGATGATAACATGATTGTATACATGATGATTCAGTAATCTTCTTATCTATATGTCGTGGACAAAGTCCAAGATATATGAAAATTGCACAGATCTTGTTGTAGGTTGCGGCATTTTTCCTAGGGCAAATCCTAAGGATCCCAAAAATTGTACATACAATCTAGCTAAACATGCAAATTTCAAGGTCCCCCAAACGTAAAAGTTGGGATCAAAACAATTTTTTTTTGTTCCTTTGCGATCACTACTGACGTACGCCGACCAACAAAAATGACGCAGAAATGACGTCATTATGACGGTTTAATGTCACACAACGCTTATGAACCCAAAAAGGGCGCAATGTTATGCAACAATTTTGTTCTTTAGTTTATTTTATTATGGCTTCCACAGCTTTTACCGAATAATTGTTCAAACGTTTTTACAATTATCACGAAACACGGTATGTAACAATTATAAAACATTTTTATTGGAAACTTTCATAGAGCTGAAATTAAACAGTTTTAAAATGAATGTTTATTGCCTTAGATACAGCTTTTTTGTTTTGACTAACACTAAAAGTTTGCCTTTGTTATTAAAGTGCATCCACTGAGAATAATGACCTCTGATATAACGAAAAGGCAAGCATTAGATCATGTTTAGCAAATAAGATATCATCAGCCATGTTGCATTCAGATCTGCTATATACACACCTAATAGGTACCCGGCAGACAGAGATTCGGCCTGCAATCTGATGGTTGATATTTTACTGCGCAAGAAATTTTTTGTATAATGTATGGGATATATGTGGCAAAATTTTCAAGCGTCTCAAGTACATTAGTTATTATTGAATTTCAGGAGAAAAGGTGAAAATTTCCGTTCTGCATTTTTCTTATTCTTACATGTATTGTAATAGAAAAATTCATGTGAACCATCTTATACCATTGTATAAATACTAAGCTAGCTAATTAAGACATTTTATCAATGCTATAATAATTTTATCACCTTGAGAGTTCTTATTAAACGTTTTTGCTTTATAAGAGATTTTAATAAAATATTTAATTTATTTGGTACTATATCAAACAGAGACCTTTTGCACAGATAAACCGAGTGCGTAGATTCCGAATTCTGTACCAAATTGATCCAGGTAGGTCCTCGTCTGTACCAAACTTGCCCTGTCCAAGTTTCAGAATCTTCTGCTAGACATATTCAAACTTAGCGCCTTTAATTCGTTTAGACAAGACTGTAGGGACCTGTAGATTGATGAACCTGTTTTTTCACAAACTCAGAATTTATTTCATAGATGTCGCCCTTCGCTATTTTGTACAAAGTTCTTTAATCTGCTAGAGTGCTAGTTTGCCTAAGCTAGAAGGTAGAGGGCACAAAGATCTCGGTAACTTGATTCAGTTCGGTCCAATACAGGACCGGCATTAAATTACATCGACGAGCTGGAATTTTCACTCGATGATTCCTAATATACAATTTTAGACTAGATTCTGAAAATATAGTAATATAACTTATGTTGATGATGGAGGAATTAATGAAAATTGGTCACTGGAAATTGAAGAATAATCCTTCAACTGAAAGTTTCTACTATTTCTCAAAATTTTGTTTAGTTAAAAATCTCATGGTAGAAAGTTTTACTTTCTTGTCAAACCATAAGAAATACTCCTGGAATTTTTGAACGGGTTCGCCAATCCATGAGAAAGAGAATTGATTCCTGTATTCTAGCAGGAGGACTTTTTCAACAATGCTTGTGATAATTAAATTAATTAGTTTATTTGATCCATAGATATTGACAAAATTGTTTTTTTTTGGTTTGGTTTTTATTTTTACGCAAAAACGTATTGGACGGAAAAGTTATGAGGTCAGATTTGTTGCAAAATAAATGAAGATTTCAAAAATCCATCATCACATTTATTTTTGGAAAAAGCAATGGTGTACCATATTTTTTTGAAAAATCTACAGTATCCCATACGGGCGCCACTGGTAGAAATATAAAAAAAATCTACATCAAAAAATTCATATTGGTGCTTAGTAGGTGCATTTCAAATTTCATGAAAATATCTAGAAGGGTATTAAAGTTATAATAAGAAAAAGAATTTCTTAAAAATTTTAACACACTGCAGCTCAAAAGTCAAGAGGCTTAGGACATATGTGCATATAAGCTATTTTTCTTAAACTGAGCTAAAGAATCGTATCCTGTATTTTTAGCCATCGATTGAATTACATAATATATATATAATAACAAATGAAAACACCTAGATTCTAGAGCAAGAGGTAACAAAAGTCATGTGAGCGTATAGCACTTCTTAATTCCTGAAATCCACAACAGAAGATATCACAACAACTCCCAATCATATTCGCATTATTGAACATAAAGTTTATTGGTGCTGCTAGACAGAAGATTTGGTCTGGGCCTTGTTGCAGAAAAAGGAAACTTTATATTTGGATGTCAATCTTGGTACCAGGAAATCAATTTGCAATATTAAAACATATCAAGAAGGGACACCAAATCTATTCAATAATAATGAGTAGTCATATCTTCTTGCAGCATAGACACCATCGCTCCTATAGCATAGATATTTCAGAAATTTCTTTTGCACTTTTTTTGTAGAGTTCATAGGGATCCAAATAATTGCACCGTATTGTAATTTACTTATAACACGTACTGAAAATAACTCGATAAGCGTTGTGATTCTGAAATTTCTACAATTTCTGATAATAAAGCCATATGTTTGATACGCACTACTTATAGTTTCAGTGATGTGGTAGTTAGAGGTGAGCTGACAATCGAAATACTCGCCCAAATCTTTGAAACTTTCATACCTTTCCAATACAGAATCATTTATTTTGTATATACGAATTGTTATTGTTACACCCTATTTGTAATAGAAATCTTTGTTGTTGGAGGTTTTCACAATCTTGCCAGCTAGAAGTAGATGTATAAAGCTTCAGATCATCGACAAAAATAAGCTTGTTCCATGATAAAGAACTGCAAAGATTGCTGACGTATAAGTCAAACTGATGACGGCGTGCTTGACACCAATTTTTAATATAAAACAACAATGTGGGGCACTTTCCTCTACTATCTTTTTATACATTATTTTTTATGTCGCGTTCTCCAAACCCAAGGCCCTGTTGTATCCGTCTCTCTGCACAACAATGCACCTATTTGCCTGCCCCATAGGCACAAGCACAAGAATCCTTTTCTTCACACCACATTTGTCCCGCTAAATGGTCGGAGGCCTCCCGAATTCTGAAAGGTGACACTTTTGTCGATTTTGCTAATAGCATCATCCGATATTTTTCGGTTCATTGTATATTACAACAGCATCAATTGTCGTTATTATTCAATTTATCCAATTTATCGTACCTGCAACATTTCTGTGAAAGATGATCTTAAGTGCTAATGTATACAATGATATTTTTATTGGTGCTTCTTAGGTACCCAAATAGCGTTTGCCGTTTTTGGAGATCCTGAAATTTGATAAGACTAGGTAGGAAACCGCGAAAATACAATAGGGGGATTCAAATATTAGGTAAATATACCATGCTACATTCAGGAGGTTCGTCACGTTTTTGTATGTTGTTTTTCTGTGGTCGCTGATTGAATTTTTGTGATGGTCTGATTGGATATACTTTAATGATGTTATTATTATGTTTTTCACACCTTATTAAAAAAAACATTCATACAATACCCAACATTGCACTATAAACGAAAGTTATGTCATCCGCAAACTATGGATTGGTAGAGTTACGGTTTGAAACCAACTATTACCGATTTCACTAGAGTAAAGAACGACTCAAAATCATGTTTGGACAATATTTTCATTAACACAGATGTGAACTTTCAGTCTAAAATTATTGATACACTTTTTTCTGACCACAAAGTGCAACATACCCTCTTTTCACTCAATACAAATATCGATCATGAATCCACATTGATTAGAGTGTTTTCTCACTCACATATAAATATACTAAGTGACATATAAATCCGAACACCCAGTTTACATGGTTTTATTTTAATAAAATTTTGTATTAGTACTTAATGAAGCATAATAAGTAAATAATAAAAATTTCAAAATGATTGCACTGCTTTAAAGCCCTTTGACCTTTAATAATGTGTGGATGCAGGCTGATGTGCTACGCATTCTCCAACGCGCCTAGGCATGCTTCTGATCAGGTGGTCAATGTCTTCCTGTGGTATCTCATTCCAGGCAACCACCAACTCCTCTCGAAGTGCTCCTAGAGTCTGAAGAGGACGTTGCAAATTGAGCAATCTCCTACCCATCATATCCCACCGTGCTCAATTGGGGATAAGTCGGGAGATCTTGGTGGTCATGGTAACAATGTGACATCATTATGTTGAAAGAAGTCTATTGTGACTCTTGCAACATGTGGTCGGGCATTATCTTGTTGGAAAGTTGGATCTGCCAGGGTGTCAAGATAGGGTAAAAGATGGGGTTCTAGAACTTCGTGGATATAACGCTGCGCGTTCATGTTACCTCTGATGAAGATTAAAGGTGACCTGGAACCATAAGCTATAGCACCCCAAACCATAACTCCAACAGTGTGATGAACATGTCTTTCAACAAAAAACTGTGGATTCCTCCTTTCACCACGTCGCCTTCTAACCCTGGCACGACCATCGTGCATGCCTAAACAAAATCGAGACTCGTCACTAAAGACAATACTGTTCCATTCCTGATCCCAGAGTGGCCGTTGTCTGCACCACTCAAGGCAATTACGTCGGTGTTCTCGAGTTAAAGGGAGGACCCAGTGTGGCCGGTATGAAAACAAGCCAAAACTTCTCATTCGTCGGTAAACACTTCGCATGCCAATAGGTCTTCCGTGTTCTGCAAACCATTCATTTGCAATGGACCTGGTAGTGGAGAAACGGTCCCTTAAGGCCAATAATCTTAGGCGGCGATCTTCACGGTCTGTTGTTCTACGGCGGCGTCCAGTGCCCCTTGCTCTTTGCGTACGGCCTTCTCGAAGCCATGCCTGACAACACCTAACCACAGTGTCTACACTTCTTTGCACTCTAACTGCAATTGCGCGAAAAGAAAGTCCAGCTTCCCGAAGTCCCACTATACGGCCCCTATCAAACTCAGGCAGCAGCGGTGGCCGCAGTAGTAGACTCTTCGGTCTCCTGATCAGTCGCCGTGCGCTGTGCGGGTTCGAGTCCCGTCCCAGGAGAAATTTTTCTCTTGGCTATGGATATTGTGATTGTCCGTCGGTGGTAGATGGTCTCTGACTGTCGAACGCGGAGGTACCA